TTTCCTGTAGAGGTGCCCAAACCCTGGATTTCACTCCCCAGGGACATACAGTTGGCACTGACTTCGCTTTCTTTTAGATGCCAGGTAAACGTTTCTGGATCAAACAAGCTATTAATTTAAATTGTATTCTGTTGTTATTTTTTAATTGTAGTTGTTAATTTATCTGGCTGTATTGGGTTATGTTGCGTATGGTTTCATATATTTTTATATTTTAACAATTTATTATTTTTATTTACTACTTTATTTTATTAACTAAAATATTTATTTATTAAATAATAATGTATTCTAATAATAATTAGAATAATTATTTGTTTATTTAAATAAACAATTTATTATTATCTGTTTTATTGTGTTTTATATGCTGGTTTCAGCATTTGTAAGCCACCCAGGGAAACTCAAGCTATGCAGCAGCATAAAAGTAGAAATAAATAAATAAATAAAATGTTAATAATCTGTTAATGTAGATCTCATTGTCAAGAAATCAGGAGTGTGCAGTGGGATTGCATTCCTTCTCCTACAGGTTCTCCCCTCTCCTGTATAAATTCCTCCCATTCTTCCCATTAGCTTTATTTATGGCTAAACATTATGGCTACATTTGGACAACACAACAAGCAATGGTTAAGTAAATCCCTGTTGTTCGAAGGAAAGTGAGCATGGTGACTCCAGTTCATTTCCACTGCACTAAACAACCCAACAATTCTAGGTTTGCAGGTTGTACTACGTAAACCATCTAGGGATGGAGTATCCCTGGGTTGTTTACCTGACCATGGGAAGAGTCAGAAGGTAGCATCCTCACTCCCAGTTACTCACAACAGCCAACAGTTTGTTTAAACAACAGTTTGTGTCATCTGAATCTGGTATATATCACCACAGATATTAACAATGCTTGTAATTAACCGAAATCACCAGTCAACTTAAGTTTTGCTGGCTAATGGCCAGCTTCAAATATCAGTTCATGGGGAATTTGTGTTCTCTCACATCTATTACAGTAGCTATACATTTGCACTGGGGCCAAATAAATATTCTTGTACTACTTAATTATCAGGTACTGACAAATATGCATAACATTTTCTAACAGTGAGGAGGCAAAACAGAATTGCTTTAACATTTGTTACAAGGGTATCCAATCCATTAAGGGGAACATGTAATTTCTCCCACCTTTATCTGTAAAAATGTTTACAATGTAGTCACTCTAGGCTTTATTGGTCCTTGTTACCCCCCAGGTTTGTTCACGTCCATTGTTCCAACGAAGTGTTAGGTTAGGGCCACTTCTTAGAATACTTAGAAAATCTTATTCGCAGAATACGGTTGTCTGTCCCAGAACAATACTAATGAGTAGCTGAATGTCAAGATGGATATGTATCTACAGGACCTGGATGAATGTTCAGTGGGTAAGGTCAGAAGCTTTAGGCATAGGTTGTATACCAAAAATGTAATATGAGTAATTATCTGCAAGATCAGGATTGCCTGTACCATGATGTAAGCTGTCTGTAAGCAGTTTTAGAATCAGAACGAACCATTACCAATTTTGTTATGAAGTGGCTAAATCTTTACTTGGCCGCTCCATTTTCTATCCGCCTGTTTGCTGCTGTTTGTGTTGGAAGATCTCTCCTACTGATCTTACCAGTCCATGGTCTATTTTAGTAGTTTGTCCTTCTAGATTCTAGAACTTTTCTACAGGGACAATTTATCATATGCTTGTAATTCCCCACTCATACTTGTTTATGGCTTATTTAGACAATGTTGCTGCCCTCCTGTTTTGCTTCTGTCTCTAACAAGCACTTTCAGTGAGTATTTTTAGAGCAGCTTCCACCATCTTTTTTATTCCTAGAAAAACACTGTTAAGGAGGAGAATCCAGAATAGCTACAAAAGGTTTGGTAGCATTCAGAATTTTCTGTCTGGGGGCACCCTAAGGTTCTCTGTGACACAAACTTTTGTGGATTGAAAAAGCTTATTGTGACCTCAATTTGTACCATGACAAAACTGTTAAGTTTTTAATTAAAATTCTTTATATATGTTTTATTATAACAGACTAATATGTCACCCTTGGATCTATTTCTGCTGTGGCTTCTCATATGCAACATAAATTTGTCCAGACTGATTTTTAACTGATATTTTCCATAGATTTATTTACAAAACTTAAACTGCTCCTGCCCGCACCCTTCTGGTGCACTGGCATCACTCAAGGTGCAATGCAATCCCATTGACAATGACTTGTGAACATCTCTGCTGCTTCATTCAAACTGTTATTTATTTGGGTATTTTTACCCCGTCCAATACATTGCCAGTCTCTGAATGGCTTACAAGTCAAAATCCAATAAATACAGATAAACCCAAATAATACAAAATAATCCACAACTGAGCATAAAACATAGTTCAAATATTAAACATTAAAATTACGGAAAAATAAAAAGGTCTTGTCCTGGTGCCGAAAAGTATATAACGTCAGCGCCAGGTGGACCTCTCTAGGGAGCACATTCCATAGATTATTAATTTAGCTGGTGAATGCTACCTGCTTTGTCTATCTGTGTGCCCAGGTGTCTAACGGAATATTCTATGTGATAACAACTGAAGGCACAATCTAACCCTCCCAACCCTGAACACGATGGCCATGATATGCAAGGTGGAAGGAGCATATAGGTCATTCCTGCACATCTCCTGCCTGTGCTTAATTACCAATGTCAGAATCTGACCTTTGGAGGCACTTTGGAGCAGGATGGAAGGAGTCTGAGGTGCTGCCAGGATATTTTGTGCCTTGGCAACACTGGTCTCCTTCCCTTCCTACCCACTGGGAAACCCCCAAATGTCCTTTGCAGAAGCTGCTAAGCCTGCACAGTTCTTTCCATGCTGGCTGCCGAGCAGAGGGGTATCTGAACTTGGAACTGCCAGCTATGGGTCACAGTAATTTCCCAATCTAATAGCTGGGAATTTGGCCATCTAGCAATTTCTAGTGGCTAAAGGAGTGCTCTGCCAGGGATCCAGGGATCTGAGCCAGTCCCTGTAGCTGTCCTTGTTTTGATCAACAATAAGGTGCTAATTTTAATATTTATTAACACATTTGAAAAAACAATTATCATTTTTAAAACATCACAAATAAAACTCTCTCATCTTACATGTTTCTAGAGCAAATAGCCATTAATTACAACGGGATTCCATTTATGTACTAAATCTAGAGTTCATATTGAGTCATTTCTCTCAAGTGTTACATCAGACAGTTTATCAATTTCTGGCAGTTCTATAGCCTCCATTAGTAATTTGTGGATGATGCAGCCAGACTTTCCCAGGATTAGAACACAAACATATTTACCTGCTATAAGTAACATCATTTTAAACTAGTCCACATTTTTATTAAAAGGGACTCAGTTAAATCAAACTCCATGTTTCTCAAATAGATCTGAATAACTGGTCCCAGTAAATTTCACTTTTAATTCATAATCAACAAATCTCCTTGAGTTTTATTTTTTAATATTAGAAAGGCTGGATATAAGGGACCAAATGAGTAAACATAAATAACAGTACAATCCTATATATCTAATCAGAGGCAAGTCTTAATTGAACACAATTTACTCCCAAGGTTGGTGTGTATATGACTGCAGTCCCAAAGACATTTTGGCTTTATGCCATGGAAAAAATCACCAGCTATTTTCTTCATATCAAACTTCTGATAACAGTACAGGCTGTACTGGTTTTGGGTTTGTTTTTCCTGGCCAGTTAGGAACCTTAAATGCAATGTTCATTACAGTGATAGTCATACACCAAGAGTGAGCTGAGCTGGGGACTGCTGCAAGGCGGGTATCCAAAAGTAGGCCAATGAGGAGAAAAGAAAAAACCCAGGGGTACCAGCATGTTTGGGGAGACCTCAGGCACCGATGAATTGTCTTTTGCACAGGTAGTTCTCTATTTGGAAGACTGCCTTGTCAAGGTATAGTTTAAAGAGAGCCAGTGTGTGGTGGGGTGGTTAGGAGTGCTGGACCGGGCCTTGGGAGATCCAGGGTCTGGCTCCCACTGAGTTACTTTGGATCAGTCACAGACTCTCAGCCTAATCTACTTCACAGGGTTGTTGTTGTGAAGACAGAATGGAGAGAGGAACCTTGTGAGCCAACTGGAGTTCTTTGCAAGAGGAAGAAAGGCAGGGTATAAATGCCATAAGATGATAAGGATAAAGAACTGTGAGATGCAAGAACAGCAGGATCCCTGATATCGCCTATCAACCACAGCCACCTGGATAGGCTGAACAGGCAGGCACATGGGTCATTAAATTGTATTTCTAAGATAATTATTACCACTATTCACATTTCTGTCCTATCTGTCCTCTTGCCAAGGCAGCTTACATGCTCCTTCCCCTCCTATTTTCTCCCCACAATAACCCTATGAGGTAGGCTAGACTGTCTCAGTAACTGACCCCAAATCACCCCGAGTTTCATGGCCGAAGCAGAGACTGGTACCTGGATCTCCTCGGTTCCATCGACTCTTCTAACCGCTACACTCATTGGCTCTCAAAGTATAATTGTTTCTAAATTTGCATTCACATGTGGAAAATTAGCATTAGCAAGGCTTAAGCAAATCTGGGGGGCTATTTTGTGGTGCTGCATTCTTTCTTTTTTTGGGAGGGGGTGGGGGGAATGCACCGTAAGAGAACCTCCTGCTTTGCAGAAGAAGAACAACAACAAAAATTCTTGGGAAAGGAGAACACCGTCTCCACCCTCCAAGAGCTCGATAAAAATTGGATGCATTCAGTTGTGGCAGGGAAAGAAGAAACAGGATATCCTAAAAGAAGGCATGGCTGAGCGGCTGACCGGCTGAGCAGCATCCACTCCCGATGACACATCTTTGCAAGCCCGATTTGCTGACCAAAACAAGGCAGCTGACCAAGAAAGCTGCCGAGCTAGGCTTGTGCAAAGAAGTTAATGGAGGCAGGAAGATCCGCAACGCAACACTTCCGGCTGCCCTTCGTCGGCTGCCCCACCTCCTCCCAGCAACAGGAATCGGGAGGAGCGGCGCTGGGCGAGTTGTCGGCTAGCAGACGGGGCTGGCGGACTTTGTGCGCAACAGGCAGCGGGAGCCACCTGCTTACCCACCTGGGCGGCTGCGGAAAGGCCGCCGCTTCCCTTCCTCCTCCCGCGGAGCGAGAGAAGGAGACGCGCCCGTGCGCACCGCCTCCGAGTAGGACGTGTCAGCAGGTCGCTTGGCCGCCGCTGCTTTCGCAGCTGAAGTCTCCAGCCTACATCGTTCGCGGCCGCGTCTCTCCAGCGCCAGGCAATGCCCGCCGTCGACAAACTCCGCCTGGAAGAGGCTCTGCAGGACAGTCCGCAGGTAACACGGCTGAGTGGGGCCGTCATCGGAACGGTGGTCGGGAAGGGAGGAAGCGGCGCCAGCGGCCAGCTGGGTGCGAACGCGGAGGCGACCTGCAGCCGGGGCGGCCGGCCGGGCGGGCAGGGTGGCCGGGCGCGAAGTCTGCAGGCTTGCCGATAATCCAGAGTAAGGCATTATGTGACCAGGATGACCTGTCCCTTCTAATCTTTCTTTTACGGATGCGGCTTCTGGCTGCGTCAAAGCAAACCTGTGAACTAGGTGAGCTTTCTGTTGTTTTTCATTGCTGTTTGGAAGCAGATGCATGTTTAAATCCTCTTTAACAATTAGTAATATGATGTTCTAATAGTTCCACGACTGCTTTTTCTTTGCCAAGGAATCAAAATGGAATGGTAACCATAATGGTTAAAAGCGTATTAAGTGGGAAAGGGAGTGCTTTTGTTTTCCTTTTTTCAGTCTTTTTTCCAAATAAATAAGCTCTTCATGGTAAAAGTGGCATGTTTGCAAGACTAACAAAAAAGTCACAAATTCTTTTGAATTTATCAAAATGCTTCATTTGGAGTAGAATACAATTCCAGGGAATCTGTATTATGACACAAGATGAAAAACAAAACTCTAGCCTTTGTAGACATGATCTAAGCTATAAAGGAATCTGATCCTATGAACAGGAAGAAAAAGCCTGATAATAACAAAATAATAATTTGTATTCTACCCATCTAGCATGTTGTGAGAGCACACAGTTCATGCAGCTGCTGCTAAATCTATAACATCCCTCCATTTTATAAGGTAAAAAGTAAGGAAAGCTTTAGAACAATGGGTAATTATGCAGAGTTCTTTGGAGATATTAATAAGCTTTGGAGGGAGGAGGCAAAGAAATATCTTTATCATTGCATATGTATGAGAAGTTCCCTGATGATAAATCTAGGTCAGTTTTAACAGGAGGTGCACTGCACGTACCTCTCCTTGCAATTTTGGGGAGGGAAGGGAAAGATAATTATATTTGTTTCCTTTTGTTCTCCTGATCGCCTAGGCTTCATGTGAATAACTAACTCCCCCCATGTCAAAACATTACAGTGTATAATTAAGATAAACAAATTATTGAGACTCCACCATTAAGATCTTTAATAGAGTGTTAAGGGTAAGGAGGAAGTGGTTAAAACTCAAAACTTCTTGTGTATACCTTGTGTTTGTCTAGCAGGTGGAGGGTAAATGGGGTTTACACAAGAGGCTTTACTACCAAGTATTTTGCCCCGCAGTTTCCTTCATTGAGGCTTTTGGGTTGTTCTTTGAGACAGATTGGTGGGGTGTGTGTGTGTATGTGTGCAAATGGGGTTTCTGATGTGCAGGCATCATGTGACTTATCTAAATGGATGCTAGTATTTCAAAGGCCAGGATGCTACTAAGCCTGACTGCTGGTTTATGCAACACCCGGGAGAGAGCAGAGGCTGCAAAGCACATTTAAAAAATCATGGCCTGTAATCTTCTATTTCTTTAAGGAAGTCACAGTGCAATAGGCACAACTGCTGAAGTTCAGGCATTCCTATTCAAGGATGCTAACTTATCCAGTGTGCACCATTTTCACGTCTGTTCTCTGAGTTACTTGAAGTGACTCTCCTAGTTTGCAACTGAACATCCAGGGGAAGCAGCTGGATTAGTGGGAGAGCTTTCAGACATACAATCCCTGGAGTTCAAAGTGGTTCAGGAAAAAAAAATTCTCTAATTAATCTTGCTTGTGTTGATGTGGATGAGCAGGCACAGAGACTTAGTTGTTGTTGTTGTTAGTCGCAAAGTCGTGTCCGACCTATTGCGACCCCATGGACAACACTCCTCCAGGCCTTCCTGTCCTCCACCATCTCCCGGAGTCCACCTAAGCTCGCACCAACTGCCTCAGTGACTCCATCTGGCCACCTCATCCTCTGCCATCCCCTTCTTCTTTTGCCATCTAATTTGGGTTAATCACAAGTATAATAGCATTGGGATTGGTTCTGAATTTTAAAACTAATTCTGTTTAATGTTTACCTTTGTTACCTGCTCCAAGTCTTTAGAATGGGACAGGCCAAAAACTTGAATATATGAGTTTATATGAAGGATAAATTCTATGATCAGCAAGTTTTCCCCTCGAGGAGTTATATTATCAGTCTCTTTTCAGTGATCCAGTCTCTGATTACTTGGAGATGTAATTATTGTTCCAGGGTGCAGATATTATTTCAGTGTGGGGGAAAACACAAGAAGACCCCTGCATCCCTTTCCTATTTAAAATATCTTATTGAGTTTAATCTGTATGCTTTCTTCAGATAAATATTTGGTTGGAAGCTGTGTCAATTCAACAAGTATGCGCTTTAGTAACGTGCTGCTGCAAAACTTTAATACAGTGCATTTTGCCAAGAATGCTCAGATCACATTCTCCATACTCCCCTTCCCCTTCAGATGCTGCTAGCCCTCTGACCTGAAGAGGAAAATCAGTGTTGGCTACTGATCTCCAAATCCTTTCCCCATTTTCTTTTGGTCCAGGAGATAAACCAGGATTTACCTGGAGCACATATAATGCTATTTTACTAGATGCATACACAGCTTCTACTCTGAACGAATCCAGCATAAATGTTAATATGGAAGAAACCTTTACATCTGAAATATTACACTGTTTTTCCTGTTGGAACACTTTCACCTTACAGGATTAAAAGTTCAATGATATGTTTAGAGCAGCTGGACAAAGAATGGATAAAGAGCTTTTTAACCAATTGAATTCAGTCCATTGTGTTTTATTTTTATTTTTGCTTGATGACTGATACTTGCCCCTGTCATAAGCAGATCATGTCCAGCCTAGTGTCCTAAGAAACCACTTGCCATTGTAACTGCATTATGATAATTACCTTACAGGATCAAGGTTATGGGTGTTGTGGATATTAAATAAACACAGTTCTGTGAAATGGATGTCTCAGGGAAGGGAATTCAGGATAGAAGCCTTGGGAGAAGAAAAGAATCTTCCTGGTAGCAACAAATTGACTGAATGTCACAAGGATTACTGCAAGGGATAATGAGAAGGATTCTTCTCAAAATATTATCCGCTTCTTAGGCATGTTTGCCCTCCCAGATAGTTTTTCTGGACTTGACCTTGCTGCATCAATGAAAGCTCTGTTACTCTCTGCCTTAAATTGTCACAGCTCACTTATTAAAGTTTATTTAATTAATTCCTTCAAAAAGACACACGATCACTGCTTGCACCACCCAATCCTCCTTTTTCTTGCCATGTCTCACCCTGATGGTCATGTCCATAAGGCTGAAAGTTACAGAAACATCAGCTACTCCAGACTGGGCCAGTTACAGGGAGTACGTGACTCTCATGTTACCACAGATTCACCAGTCTCTTTCTGGGCAGAATTCAAAGTGCTGGTTATGTTCTGTGAAGCCCAATATGGCTGGAGATTATACTATTTTCTCCCATATGAGCTTGCCTGGTTCCATTACAATGTAAAAGCGGACCTCCTTGCTCCCCGACTGTGGAGCACCTGCCTGATGCTGCTACTTACTTTATTCAAATCATTCTTCATAATGCACCTTCCTTGGTGGCTTCCTAGTCCTTAAACCCCTTTACATCAGAGTATGTATGATTTTTCAAGTCCCTAACTGATGAGTTGACAGTGTAGAGCCATGTTGGTGTTAGTTATGGGAGTCTTGTTTTTCCCTCTTTCATTTTTAAATGTTGGAAGGTGCAATGGGAAAAAAGCAGCTTTATCATTGCAGCATTATTGTCCTGAGGTCATCTCACGTTTCGATTAACTCACACAGCAGGCCGTATTTCATTTATTTATTTATTTATTTATTTATTTTTCAATTTATATCCTGCCTTTTTTCCTACAAAGGGCTCAAGGCAGCTTACATCTCCTCCATCTTATCCCCACTTTTATTGCTGCTTTCTACAAGATTTACGACGTAACTGATAACTCTACTCATGAGCCCCTCGCCCGTGCAGTTGCTGCCTCTTTCTGAGTTGACTACGAAAGCAGCACGTGGTATCAACCCTTCCTGTCTCATCTTTCCGCCCGAGGGCGTGGCAGAGCCTTGTCCCTTCGTCGTAATTGGCTCTGTCTCGTCAAGGCTCTTCTGTCCCAGGCAGATGATAATTCTCCTGCTGAATCCTGTTCAGCAGCTTCAGGGTCTGGAGCGGAGGGTGCATCTTTCTCAGGCAGTCCAGAGCTGGAATCAGAGAGAGCTACTCTCTCAGACTCTTCCTCCTCGGTCTGCGGGGGGGGGGGGGGGGGCATGCTCAGGGGCCAAGGGATGAGGTGGAGGAGAGGTTTCTTGCTCAGCAGCCAGAGAGTCAGGCTGTGTCTGGGCCATCTGAGCATTGGTTCTCAAATATAAGTCTCCTTGGTCAAATGCCAAACTCTCACTGCCAGCTCCTGTTTCTTCCTTGCGAGTAGACGTCTTGGCCAAGGCGTCACGCACGACAATTATTGAGTTATGGACTGGGGATATAGTTTGAATCTTAAAATACTCAGCCTTCATAATGAGATTAACTTTTTTTGGTATTACTTTTGCAAAATTATGAATGCAAGGTTTCTTAAGAGCTGAAAAATTGTTGCTGATCACCGGACCTGTATATCTGGAACTATCAGTGACTGAGTCAAGATGTTTAAAAAATTGTTTAGTTGAGCATGCAGTTCCCCAGATATGTTGGACAGCAACTGGCAGAAGGCACCAGCCTGAGGAATGCTGCTTTAATTTCACACCTGTCTGAATCACTCAGATTCGATTCACATGAGCCACGACATTGCCCTGATTCTGATATGGTTCTCCGTGTGGATCCCTTCAGTGATTGAAATCCTCCCCGGGTCCCTTTCCTGAAAACTGCTGCTATACTCATGATGAGCTGTGTAGGAAAAGCCAGACCACAGTGTGCAGAGGTGATAGGTGGCCAAGAGATTCTTAGAAACTGTTTGCAACTCTTGAAACATTGGAAAGGGAAAAAAGCCTTAGGGTGCAGTCCAAGTGGGATGCCAATAAACCTCCAAACTCCCTGCTCCTCCTAGCTGGTTGGCTATCTAGTAGCAATGCTTTGGAGAGGGAAGGGAGAAGGCTGGAATGGCACCTGGCAGGCCTAATCTTTTTCCCTCCAAGCCTTCCAGAAGCACCTCTTTACACCTTCCTGGAAGACCTTACAGAAGCAGCTGGCACAGTTCTTTCTGTGCCAACTGCAAGTGGGTTGCGGTTGGGGAGAAGGATCTGAGTGCAGATCCCATCACAGATGGAGCTCATTTCATACCTTGGATCTGGAAATCCAAAGCATCCTGTGGCCCCTAAACACTCTCTGGGGGCCAAAGGATTTCTCTGTGCAGCATGAAACTAAACATGACGTTGACCACATTAATGTGCAGGGATGTTTTTGACAGTACATATTGCATCAGCTGGAAGGGAGGTGATAATTAACGGGATCAGAGCAGAACAGAGATTGTAATGCTTTTGTCCCACACTGTAGTCCTTCTTCTGAAGCTTGTGTTTGCTTTTGACAGAAATCTTGTATGCATGCCAGTGGGGATTTCTAGGATGACCAGGTGCCCTGCCTTACCAAGGAGAGTCCTCTGTTTGAAGAGCTGTTCAAAGCACCCAGGTCACCTGGTCATAGTCTTCCCCACTATGAAATTTTAGTGTATTTTTGTTTAAATTATAGTAGTTGCACCTAAATGTGCATCTATTCGTAGAAATTCACCTGGACCAATTTTGTGCAAGTCTGTATTCTCTTTTGTCCCCCTTTTGGATGAAGCATTTTTCTCTTCTTTGGCAATGCATAAATGGCCACCTTATGTATCACTGTACCCCCGTCAATGCAAATTGCACCTTCTAAGGACAGTTTTTCCTCTATCCCTTTTCCCAGGGTTATTCAGCATAGCTGTATTGTGAAACATTAAGTGACTTCACCCAGCATATAGCTAAACCAGGGTCTCATTAGGCCACCAAACTTCCTAAAATTCTCATGCCTCCTTCCCAGTGTCACTTTTGTGCTTTGATCTCAGATTTTTTCTGCAAGCTGCCAATGAGTCTGTGCTTCCTTTTGACCAAATAAAGTTGTATTTTTTGAAAAAAAAAAGTACTCAGAACACTATCTGAACTTCTGCTGCATGTTCTGACTACTTCCCGTTATCTTGTGTGCTTCCTGAAGACTTCAAAGAAGGAAGAACTGCTTGGTAAGGAAGAGAGCAATAGGGAACAGAAGACAGAGCTACAGATGTTTGGGACTTGAACTCCCAAAAGCCTCTGCTCACATGATTCATGGTCAGGAATCCTGAAGTTGAAATCAAAAACATCTGAAAATCAGCTTTCTGTCCACCCTTCACCTAGAGTGTCTCTGCAGCAGCCCATCCATTTATGATCCCTCTTGATCTCACCTGTATATTGATAATTTTTAAGAAATCATTTTGAAGAGATTCATGAGTAACAGACCACCCTCGGCAGTTAATACAGCCTCTGGTAAGAGACTTGCACTGAATTGAGCCAAAGTTACCCTGTGACTTGCATCTGATTAGGTAGTGAGGACCACTGTGATGTAGAGGTGGGGGTGTTGGACTGGAGACCTGGGAATCGCCACTCAGCCATGGAGCTCTTTGGGTGACTTTGAGCCAGTCACCCAAACTCTCAGCCTAACCTGCCTCACAGGGTAGTCCAGTCCAGCACTATGCTGTTATGAGGATAAAATGGAGAGGAGAAAAACCTTGTAAGCTGCCTTAAGTTCCTTGTAAGAAGAAGAATGGGATATAAATACAGTGCAGAAATAATTATAGGAATGTCTTGGAGGTGTATAGGACTTTAAAAATACCCCAACTCTCCAGCTGGCCAACAAGTGCACCTTTCATTGCAGTCCTGTGGTTGCTGTTGCTTAATTCTGAGTAGACATGCAGAGTCACATGCAGTAGAAACTAGTATGATTTAAGGAATAATGGTGGGATTTGGGGATTTTTCTGCCCTGCCCACTTCTGCCTTTTACCTCAAGAGCTGCTCCAAAATGGAATTCAGCCCTCAGATTGCAGTAAACTATGGAATTCAGTACCACCTGGTGAAGTAATGGCCGTCAGTTTGGGCAGGTTTAAAGGGGATGAGGGTTAAAGAAGATAACACTATTTTCATAGTGGATAACACACCTTCATGGAGGATAACGCTATCTCAGTGAATGCTAATCATAATGGCTATATATCACCTCTGGTATTGGAGGTACCGCTGGATGAATTTGGGTCAAACACTGTCTCAGCCTACATCACAATGTTGTTAGAAGGTTAAAAGGGAAGGGAAGCATGAATACTACCCTAGGTTCCTTGGAAGAAAGGTAGGATATAAGTACTGTCCCTAACAGAGGAAGATTGTTAACAGATCCATAATTTGCCCAGGGCCACTGGGTCAGTCCATTGCCATGGTTGGACTGGAGCTCAGGTTTTGCAGCTTTAAGCCACAAAACCTTGTCTTTTTATAAGCTTATTCTAGGGTCTTTAGAAACAGACATTTATACATACGTACTCATATCTTCCACCCTTTTCCTGCAGGCAATCCAAGGTGGCTCCATAATTTTGAGCAAAACATTTGGCTGTTGTGTGGAAGTTCACCAACAGCTGTTCTTTGTGAAGAAAACCCTTCCACAAAAAGGGATAGCCAAGCCGAGCGATCAAACAAACTCCTTAAAATATTGAGAGCACTTTAATGTCGATCTGACAAGGAACTGCTGATGTGAGTGCGTGGAGAAGGGAGGGAATGCCTGAGCTCTGAGGGCTCTGGAGGATGGGGTACCTGTCATCTGAACGCAGCCAGAGGTTGAAGAACAAATAGCATGTCAAATCAGCCACTTCCAGTCCTGGTCTCTGTTCATTTATATACACTATTTTTATATAGCTTTATATCTTAAAATCTTTAAGCAGTTTATCATACTAATATAGCATAATATAGAACAAGGAAACAAGTTTAGAATAATATAAAATAATAAATAATTGACAATATTGAAAACCATTCTGAAAGCCACTGATTCTCAAATGGGGAAAATATTAAGCACACAAGCAGAGCTTTGCAGGGTCAGACCAAACTCCTGTCCTGTCCAGCAGTCTGTTTCTCCCAGTGGCTAGCCAGCTTGCCCAGGGGAAAACCACAGGCCAGATATGAAGACAGCTAGTGTGGCATAAGGGTTAGAGGGTTGACTTGGCCATGAAGCTCACTGGGTCATGGACTCTCAGCTTAAACTTCTTCACAGGATAAAATGGAGGGAAAGAGAACCTTGTAAGCCATATCAGGTTCTTTGGAAGAGGAAGAAAAGGAGCGTATAAACATATCTAATAATAATACTAGATGATATGTAAGGCAGACGTGCTTATCTGGATCCCACTGATACAGCTAGTTATGATTGACTGGGTTAGAACTAATGGTGAACTGGTTGCCAAGCTACTGAGTCTAATCTCATGTTCATCAGTCAATAGTTGTCTGTATGCTTGAAATGCTACAGTTTTTGCAAAGAGGCCACTATCTCAGCAATGTGATTAAGGCATCACTTTGGACAGTCATTGACTCTCAGCCTTACCTACCTCACAGGGTTGTGCTGAGGATAAAATGAGAAGGAGGAGGAAAAGTAATATAAACCACTGGAGGTTCTTTGCAGGAAAAATGGTGAGATCTGTATGTAATAAACAGATGTCTTACTGCTAGACACAATTCTACTACTGGTTTGTCTTCATTATACATGCTTGTTTTTAAATTTGTATACTTCTCTATCCCAAAATTTTACATTTTGAAGTAAACCACTGATCTCTTTCTTTCAACAGACTCGTTCGTTGCTAAGTGTGTTTGAAGAAGATGCAGGAACTCTTACAGAATATACTAACCAGTTACTTCAGGCTATGCAACGAGTCTATGGGGCTCAGGTAAACCAATTTCATCTACATACATTTCTTTTCTTTTAAATGACTTAAGATGCAGTCTCATCCCTGCATTGGATGCTCATAAGCTTCTGAACTGAAAGTTTTATGAATGTCAGTGGAAGGCACAGTGTCCGTAATCTCTACCACTGCTGTACTTTCTGCCTTGCATTTTCCCCAGGTGGCCGTTTGTGGCTATCTAGTTCTAACACTGAGGAGGGAAGGAGGCTGGGAAACCAATTGGAATTGGCATGTATCCTGGGGCCAGTTTCCTCTTCTTCCACCTCCAGGCGTGCCTCTTTTTTTCTCCTTCCCAGTCTTCAAGGGAAGGCTCACTTTTCAGAATCCCAGCACCAAAATTGCAGGGTCTTAGAGCTGCGACACTGAAGCAACTGGTCTCCATCCACATGACAGGAGGTCACACGATTGTACTCATATTGGGGTTTCCCCCAATTTTTGTGCCTGATAATATAGAAACCATAAAAAGAGTCGCTCTTCTCCCACAAATTACAAAAATAATTATAATTATTCTTCCTGTTGCTTGCTTTCATTTTGGTCTACCTAACATAAATATGCAGAAAATAATACATGCCAAGGCAATTTGTACAAATATAATGTCCATGTCTGGATGTTCATATCTTACTTTTGACCATGCAGTCCGTTCCCAACAAGCTGTGCTTAAACCAGGAAGTTTCTGTTTAGCCTTTTCATCTGAACTGGAAGACAATGCGGAGCAGTTTTAGAAGGAGTCAGGATTTGCTGTTGATCAGCAACATGCACACACGTGGTCAGGAAGTTATTTGTAAGGCTGGTAAGGCATATGTCTGTATATTGCAAAAAGGAATTTATTGGTGGAGACTTGCAGCTCCAAGTGTGAAGTTTTAGTTTGGACAATGAGCTGTCTGTGGTGCTGAACCCAAATAGCTTTAGCACTCTGGATACCTTCTTAGAAGTTCAGCCTACAACCTGGACTGGATCCACCACCTCAGTGATCCTGGAGCTACCAGCTCCCATGGATTTGATTCTGCCATCATATCAGGCAGAGCTGAATGAGTTGCTAGAGTTTCTCCCTCTCCCCCTCCCTCCCCTTCCCCCTCCCCCTCCAGATAGCTGTGTTCCCTTTCCCCTGCCTGCCAATGCTTGGTGGTTTCCTGGGTTTTGCTCTGTTACTGCTTGTTCTGAGAGGTTAACCTGCCCTACCCAAACCTTGCCTCTCTCAGTACTAAACGCTTATAGCTAAATAGACTGGTATTTTATTTTTGTATTTTGGCCCTGCCCCTTTTGCCTTAGGCTCCACCCACTATGGAAAATGTCCTCTAAGAGTTGCTCTAAAATGAATTCAGCCCTTGGGCTGAAAGATGCTCAATGTCCTGTGTGACAGGAATAGCAACATGACCATGTGAACCTTCTAACCCCTCCCTCTTTTCCTTGTTTGTATATGTAGAAGTGTCAGTGCACTAACACCCAACTACTGCAAGGCTTTTGATTTGGGCTATTTAACTTGTTGCTCTGCTTCCTGTAAAAGCCACCTGGAATATCTGGAACACAGCCCTTTAAGGGACACACCTTCCTCTCTTTCATGTTAGTACAGACTTTTATTTAAAGATTTGCATGGTCATCAGAAGTATGTTTACATGTTGGGAATTATAGGTGTGGTTAGGTGCTCATTTCAGTTCATAATTTCCTTAATAATTAGGTGGAAGAAGTCAAACTAATTGTCAAGCATGGAATGATATTGTCTTATAGTTTTGCTAATAATTGAAATTGCAGCACAGAGGAAATTTCATTTGCCTTTTTGGTAAACATTGTATGTATCTGTTAGAGAAAGAGTAGCTATGTTGAAATAGCAATTCCTTAAATATTAGCGGGAATGAAATGAGATGGACTCTTTATAATGAAGGTGATCTTACTCTTATCTGTAATGCTTTATCTAATTGCATCGGAGCTTATATATTGTTCAAACCTACACAAGTTTGCTAGATCCTTTGCACTGGAATTGATCAGGTTAGAGAGTTATTGAGTATGGTGTTGTAAAAAAAAAAAAAAAAGCAAGTTTGACAGTCTGGGAAATACACAGAGATCCAAATTTGACAGACTGGGAAATATACACAAGTACATGTAGGTATGGGCAAGCAGAGAGGACATTTTTGTTATATTTCCCCTCTGTTTACTTTTCAGCGGTGAAATGTGCATCTTCCTCCCTGCCCAAAAAAACGAACACTATCCTAGAGAGTTTTTTTAAAAACCTGAACATTTACAGGTGGCAGAATGAGAGGGAACAACATAGGTGTCCCTGCTGAGTGTGGTACCTCATCTGTTCCATTCATCCACCTTCTTAACATTTTTTACTGCTGTCAAACTTCAGTAACAGCCATGAAAAGGAGGCAGCCTCAAGATCACCCCTCTATGGACTACCAGGAGATGTGCAGTAGTGTCCAGATGGTGAAGCAAACTGAGAGGTGTTGTTTTAACAGCTCTAAATTGCTAAGGGGAAGATCTTCAGCCCATCTCTTTAGGTGTGTCTGTTCTGCCTGTCATTTTCTTTTGTTGATGTTTTCCAGTTGGCAGCTGGGCAGCTGTCAGCTGCTTGCCATTTAGTCAATATGCAGTCCCACTTCCTCAACCTGTTACTGTTTGACAGCTGAAGTTGGAAAGGGCATTGACTAGGCAAGAGCATATGTATGTATGTTTATATCTGACATAACAATGCACTTGCTCATCTGCAAAAGACTACCCCCCCAAAAAATACCATGTACGTAGGTCCGTTCAGTGTATAGAATGCAACCTTTCCAGAAATATTGGTGCTCATGCAAAATAATTGTGTAAAAGAGACGTAGCAACTGCCCCTGCATTATGATGTCCCAAAAATGAAAGAAGCAGCTTAGGTTGCTGTCTTGTGTTGACTTTTCTGGAGTAAGTCTGATTGAACACAGCCAATCAGAAGCTATTTCGCTTCAGAATAGACCTGTGTAACCAGTGGGACGCAAGATCTGGTCAGTCCTCTCAGGCTTTGATTGGGTGTGACCTTCAAGTGTCAGATGTCTTCTCTCTTCACAGAATGAAATGTGCCTGGCGACACAGCAGCTCTCTAAGCAGCTCCTTGCATATGAAAAGCAGGTATGGTTGATGCTCCATCTGCACCCTGAGCGATTTCCATCTTTGGTGGCTTAGAGGGTGGAGATGAAAAGCAGGCACACCCAAAGCTTTTCAGGCACGTGCTTACTTACGCTCATAGAGATGACACTGGGGGAGACTGGGAGCCTTGCAGGAGCAGAATCATGGCTAGTGAAGAGCGCTTGAACTGCTGTCTCAGGACCTTGCTTGGAGTTAGCAACTGGACCTCCAAACCACAGCGCTGCACTTGGTCCTTTGTTTTTCTCACAGGAAGATTATTGGGAGTGAGAAAGACAGTTGCTCTTGGCACACATTCCCAGGGCTTCCTGACTGGGGCTCAGAGGAGCAGGAGAAGGCCTCGGAATGTGGACCACTTCCAAATGGCAAGAGAAGCAGAGGCACTTATCTCAAGGTCAGACCCCCCAGGTGCCTCAGGCGGCCTCTGAGAATATCCAAGATGTATAGTTATCAGGAAGGGGCTTGGAACAGGGGAGTTTCTCAGAGGTAGATGAAACAGGTGCTGCTCTCGGCCCCACGATGTGACATCAGCAGCAGAGGTCAGCCAGTTAGAGGATCAGTGTGCAGAGAGGTGTGCTCATTCCAAAAGGCCCCTCCTGAAAGAATGGGGCTCAGACATATTCATAAGGGGAATTCTAGCAGTAGACACTAGATTGGGTTCAATGAACCACTCTGTGCATGCTCAGGGACTCATTCTGGCTGATTGTGCTTCTGGGAAACGCTTTGGTCAATAAAGAACATTTACAAGAAAGGTCTGGGGCTTTGAATGTGCGAAGGGAGGAAATGACAAAGATTAAGTCTCAGCACAGGAATGGGGCTGGGACACCATTCAACACCCCCGACACCTCTGCCTATTGCCCTGACTGCTCAGCGGGGGCTTTGCAAGGCACCTGGGGTGCAGTCCTTCCCATAGCATCAATGGACGGTTCCTTCCTAGGTTGAATGCAATGCAGAGGGGGCATTTGAGGAGGGCACAGTAAACAGGGAATACAGAGCTAACTGTGATCTTGGAAATCCCCCCTGTGTGCCACTTAAGCTGAGAAAAGGAAACTTCTGTGATTGACCCCAGTGGAGTTGGAGAACCTGGGAAATAGACTTGGAGCCAGGAGACCAGGCTTTGTAAGTGCCCAGCTTTGACAGGGTAGTAATCTCATGTCCTCTGAGATGATTTGGACTTCAGTTCCCATGTTCCCCATACCACTAGGCATATGGATGGGGCTCATGGGATCTGTAGTCCAAAATACCTGGAGAGCACCAGGAGGCATACTTGTATAGTGGGCATATTTCCCTTTTCTTGCATGCTGAGTACCCACAAGTGAAACACTTCGCCTTTTCCCTATGGCACTGAGTTTCAGACATTTACTGGAATGGGGAAAATAAATGGTTCATTGGATTGGGGCAGAACTTGTCATTCCAGTGCCTGAAGTGAGTGTTCAGCTGTGTCTGATATTGCAGCCTTTCTCTTTGTCCCATAGAACTCTATAAGAACTGCTGAAAAAGAAACCCCTATAACTCCTGTTTCCCTTGCAGAACTTTGCCCTGGGTAAAGGAGATGAAGAAGTGATATCTACCCTTCAGTACTTTTCAAAGGTTGTGGATGAGGTAATCTGAGTGGCCAGACACAATTTTCTTACCTTTTATCTTTTAGTGTATGTGTATCTCACTGAAACTACCCTACTTGGGGTTTCCTGGAAGCCAGAGAAGGGAGAGCGGCTCATTCTCTGTGCGACCTCTATAGGAAGAGGCTCTTATGCAACAGCTGAAAGGCAGAGAGAAAAGGTGTCCTGGAGTGGCCTGCTGTTTTATTTAGTAGTTCTGGTTAAATTTCTGGGAAGAGTCTTGCAGAGTGTTAAAAGATGGACAATTTGTTTATGGCATAAGCTGGAGTACAATTGATTAGGGGGATATGTTGGTATACATTTTTATTACTGCTGTTATCGTCATTTCTATCCTGCCCTTTTCCACTTGAAAGAAACCCAAGGCAGCTTAGGTGGTCCTCCTCTCTATTTTATCCTCACAACAACCCTGTGAGGTAGACTAGGCTGAGAACCAGCAACTGCCCAAGGCCCAACACCACCAAGTGAGCTTCATGGTGAACCCAGATCTCCCAAGTCTGGTTATTAAGACTTGTTTATTAAGGAGTTACTGAAGACTCCATTCTTGAAAGGTAATGGCTTTTTCTAGTTTTAAATATACATTATTGAAATATGTACAGATACTGTTCCTTTTTAATATACTATATCTAGCTCTATAGATAGATGGTGCCGCTTTTGTCCAGTGTGGCTTTTTTGTTTCATAGTGAACTGATACACTATGAAACAAGCTTATTGGATGGCTAATTTTATTATAACAGTAATTGTCTAGAGAGAACTACGTGGGGATAAGAAAAAGGCCAAATCCTTGAGCTGCCTTCCCCAACCTGTCACTCTCGAGATGTGTTGGTCTAATACAACATGGCCAGTGGGATGATGGGATTTGTCACCTAGCCCATCTGAAGGGCCCTGGGCTGTGGAAAGCTGTGTTAGGGGTGGCGTTTCTAAGCATGAATCGGAACGGCTCACTTTGAGTTTCCTCTCCATTCCATGGAACAACACTGGCTGACCTCTCAAGCACACGATGATGAACATCCTGTTCTAGCCTGAGGGGTCCTGAGATTGTATCCCTTGCCCTGCTTCTTTTCAGCTTAACCTTCTGCACTCTGAACTGGCCAAACAGTTGGCAGACACAATGGTTCTCCCCATTGTCCAGTTTCGTGAAAAAGACCTTACAGGTAAAAATTGCTTGGTTTCTTCTAAACTGGGGTGCGCCAGAATAGTTATTTTGATACTCTGCAGTTTCCTATAGGCATAAGTGGGGCTTCTAAGAGCCATCTTGAATTTTTACCTGGAAATTAGTCAGGCTGACCTGGTGGGTTTGGCCACGTTTGTGGACATGGTGGACATGGCCCATTGTAAGGGGCTAAGAATAACATAAAGGCAGTCCTGCTGGCTTTGGCTATGTGCTCTAGGTAGAGGCAGGCAACTTGTTGCCCTCCAGCTCATTTGGCCTAGAAATCCCCTCATTGGCTGTGCTGATGAGGACTGCTAGGAATTGTAGAACCCAAAAAGTTTGACTATCCTCTAGATAGTGAGGAAATAAGGACATTATGGGATCTCCAGTTGCCAGTTACAATGGTAGATAGTTTTCAACTGCTAGAGTTGTGTGCCAAAATATTGTGCAATATCATAAGTTATATTTTTGCTAACTGTTATTACTCAAAATGCAACATGGTCAAGCTGCTTTTGCATCATAAAATCCCTGATTTGCCTGGCTACAATGGTTTTCTTGTCTTTTTTTAAAGCAAAATTTCTAAATGAGGTTGCAGTACCAAGCTTTATATTCTTTTAGACATATGGATCTTTTTAATTTATTTGAAAATAAGCAAACATGGATAGGTTTGCATTGAAGGTGGGGGGCAGAGGCCAAGCAACCGCAAAGGTAAGCTTGGCTACCAAGTCCAACTGAAATTTGTGGTCCTCTGCTTTCTCTCAGCTCAGTTAACAGACTTACTGGGTCAGCAGTTCCCTTAAAGTGAAACAGGAATACGTATGCTGCCCTTTCTTTTTTTCATATACATGAGCATGTATATGTACAATGTGATGTGTGTGACAAGTACAATTTTAAGGGGCAGAAAGGATGTGATCCTGACTTCCATATGGAACAACAGTCTTACAGATGACATTGGCTGCATTCAAGCAACACAACAAGCCAGAGTATAGGTTGAGTTTAAATTAAAATGTGAGCTGGTGTGATATGTGAACTCAGCAACTTAACAAATCATGGTTTGTTAACCACAAACAGCCCGTGAAGACAATTAATGGTTGTTGAGTTGTGAACTTTTGGTTGTTATTGGTTAACGAACTGTAATGTGTTACTGCAGCTGTGTTTGCACAACAATGCAAACTACAATTCAATAATAATCCATAGTTGAATGGCAACCTACATTTAACACATTTGGTGGTTCATCATCTGTGTGAATTGGGTCCATTATCTATATAGGCTTTACCCAACTGAGTGCCCTCCATATTTTTTGACTAACTCTCATCAGTAGCAACCAGCAGACTCAGTTGTCAGGAATCAAGGGACTTGTAGTTCAACACTCCTGGAGGTCAACAACTTGGAAAAGGCTAATCTATATGGCAGATTTTTTTATTTGTCCAAGAATGTCAAGCTGGCAGTTAGTCTGTTGTATTGTTTAGCTGCCTCTAAACTGTTTCATTATGGAGGTATTGTTGCATTTTAATTTTGGTATCATTAGTTTTAGTGATACTAGAACAGGGCAGTGTACAAAGAATATCTGTGTGGCTGAAGGCTGACCAAAAACTATTTTTAAATTAATAAACAGTTCATTTTGTGACTTTCTCAGTGCTTCTCCTGATCATGTTTCTCCTAATGTTGAATGAACTCTGGAACATGAACTCAGACTGCTTTGGTGGGCTGATTAAGGACAATATTCAGGGAGAAATGTAGGCAAACAAATGACACATGTACAAAATCAAATATTTCTTTGTAATTTGAAAGGAAATTAACAGTGAACTGTCAAAGATGAATCAGCACTTCTGAGATGTGCTGATTAATCTTTGAATATTCACAGCACCTATCCTTTCCAATTTCTCTGAGGAACCTTCTTAAATTCTTTGCCCTGTTGCACAAACCAGCTTCTCTTTTTTCCTTCCCAACAGAAGTAAGCACTTTAAAGGATCTCTTCAGCCTTGCTAGCAATGGTATGTTTCAAATTTTTACTGAAATTTGCTGACGATATGCACCTCTGCAGGATGTGTCATGCTAAACTGTGCCTTTGATGCTTTCAGAACACGATGTTTCTATGGCAAAGTACAGCAGACTGCCCAAAAAGAAAGAGAATGAAAAGGTAAAACAGTGTCTTCTGCTGGCTCATTTGTTTTTCAGCTGCAACACTCCTGTGCAATAATAATTTGGATGGAGGAAAGAAAATCGATGCATTTTTATATGTACATGCAAATAAAAATATGGGGACGATGAATGACTTTGACAGGGCTGCCACAGGATGGGTGCAGTTCTGAGAAGGGGCGTGTTAAAGTCACGAGGATAGCAGCGGGTCTGCAGTGCAGCTGAATGGCTTGGGCAGTACATGGCCAACTCTGTTTCTAAGGACCTGCCTGCATCCCTTCCTTCTCTTTACAAGCGCTTTTTATTTAGCTGAAGGCAGATGTTGCGAAAGAGGTGGCCACTGCCCGGAGGAAGCAGCATCTCTCCTCGTTGCAGTATTACTGTGCCTTGAATGCGCTGCAGTACCGCAAGAGAGTCGCCATGCTGGAGCCTGTGCTGGGGTACACGCGCTCCCAGGTCTGTGCAAAGCAATATTTCGTTTCTATTTCATTTGGTATATTTTTGGGCTGCCAAATAGCCGGTGTTCTAGGACTGCTTTACAAAGATTAAAAACCTTTAAAATTGATAAAAGACATATTTGTATAGGCATCAGAAAAAGAGAGAGAGGAGGCACTTATAGCTAAAACAATTTTAAAGAAATCACAGGAGCTAAAGTGTGTCCCATAAAACTCCTTGTTATAGCTGTTTCAAATACCTGGGTCCAAGGGTAGCAAAGAAAAAAGGGTTATTTCATTAAAAAGTGGTTGGCAAGTCACTGCTTGACCCACTAGATCAGATCACTTACCTTTTCAGCCTCGTTGCTCCTTCCAGGGGTTTCCAAAAGTCCTTGCTTTTGTGCATCTGAGTAACTGGGTTGAGTATCAAGTGTAATAATTATTACAATTTGGCTCAATTTGGAAACCTTGGTAGCCACTTCATGATTTTTATAAATTGGATATGTCCACATGCAAATTTGTGCTAAGGAACCCATATGATATTCCAGGTGTTTTGCACCCAAAGTTCATCCAGTATACTTCCAGTAGTTCAGCAGTGTTTGTGTTTTGGGCCATGTTGTGTTCATTCTTACAAGTCGGATTCAAGGCGGCTATTTTAGAAGATGTCAAAGGCTTTGAGCAAAGCACACATGGAAGAATATTCAGGGCTTTTAATTGCAATAGTAATATTGAAGAAAGAGAGATAGAAAGGCAAGTTTTTGCCCCCTTCCCATGAAAATCTGCTGCTATAGAGCCTTGGTTACCAAATTAAAAATTTCCCCACTTTCTGGTTTCACAGCCTATAAACAATTTTTGCTTAGATGTTAAGGCAATTGCTTTTTCATATTGCATTATTGGAGAACAAGTTGGTCATGACTGAGGCTGGCACTTGGCACTGGAGCAACAGAACTAAAAAGAAGTGACCTTATATTGGGTCCTCCTCATTATTTCGCTGTTCCTGGATCACACGAAGAGGGTGATTGCACTCAGAGGGAAAATTTGCTCTCTGCTTTCTTAGTCAGTTGCCCAGACAATGTTGGAATGTGGAGATCTAATAGAAGGCCTTAAATAGTTATCCTATGCACTAATAGCAAACACATTCTCAGACTGTGGATTCTTAGGTAGCTAAAAATGTCACTATCGATGCATAAAATGGAAGACTTGGAGCAGGCTTGGAGGAGCCCTAAGGTTTGCAGTGCCAAAAGTCATTAGGGTCCAGGGAGAACCAAGCAGTACAGTGAAGATTGAGCATGCTCAGAGGACAGAAAACACTGGAAGGACAAATGGAATGGACTATGTTGGAAGAGAGCATGGCTGGCACTCTGGAGAATTTTATTGCTGGACCCATTGCTTTGTTTCATTTCTGCTTTCTAGCCAGCTGTGAGTCCCAGAACCCAAAGCCACTTCTTATGCAGGGTATCCCCACTCTTCTCCCTTTCCCCTTGCAAGTTATTGCAAGTTAAGGCTTTCTTCCGACATATTATTTGGATGCCTTTTTAATATTTTACAGATTAAGTTTTTTAAGAAGGGTGCTGAGATGTTTTCCAAAAAAATGGACAGCTTTTTATCTTCTGTTTCAAGCATGGTTCAAAGGTAACTGCGCGTTCTAGCTTACATTTGTTTGCTTTGTGCTTTTGTTGCGGCTGATTGTGTGAGAGAGAGAGAGTTGGTTTATCCAGACAGCCGGCAGAGTCTCATACAAACATCTGCAGCCTCTTCCAACATTCCATCTTAAGACTCTGACCCTGTAAGAGTTCATGACTTCAACATTGTCAGCCTTTCCCCACTTATTTATTTATTTAAAACATTTCTATGCTGCCCCCATCGCAACAAAGCCTCGGGGCAGCTCACAACATAATTAAAACATGTAAATAACAATTAATACAATTAAAGATTAAAAAGCCCGGTAGCATCTTGGCTTAAAAATTTAAAATCCTATAAATACCATAATAAATTAACAATTAAAATAAGTTTTAAATAAAAAGGTCTTGGCCTGGTGCCGAAAAACAAACAAAACTTCTCTTCCTCATCCCCAAACCTGATTTTATAACATCTTCTCTGAAGAAGACATCAGGAGTTCATGAAAGCTTACATGGTATTTTGAGTTGGCCTGGTAAAAGTATTGTCCTAATATGAATATTACTGTTATTGCATAACAGTGAGACATCTCCAGCTTACGGTGACCCTAGGAGAAAGTGCCCTCCAATATGTCTTGTCCTTGACCGCCCTGGATGCAGCATTTTATTACCCATACATTAGTGTTTGCCTGGGAACAGTGTCCTATGCTGTGGGGATATGGGATGGGAACTGACCACAGTGACTCCTTATCATTCACCATTTGGTACCCAGAGTTCTTACTTGTTCTTCATCATGAATGAAGTAGAAGCAGGAGATAGATATCCAGCATATCCAGGATTGCTCTTGACCATTAATGGGTCAGTGCACTCTGGGAAACTGAGCATAGTCCTATGGAAAACCTAAGCAGATTTTTGCTTTTTCTCTGAGAGCATTTCTGTAGAGTCTTAAACTGACACTATCAAAGCTCAAGGAATGAAGCAAAATCATGACATAATTTACAGCAAAAGCATTTTCTGAAAAATATTGCCAAAGTTTTCCAGGTACTTGGTTCTTGGGTTAGGATCTGTGATAAATCCAGAATACAACTGTGCATGTTGTAACTAGTAAACTCACAAAATTCATGGAAATACTAGCATTCACAAAATACTTTAGAATATATGGTCCTAAATTTCTTCCTGTCTCGTACCTAGACATAGATTTAGGAATTTTAGAAAATCATGACCCCTCTTTAAAAGTATTGCCCCTATAGCTGTGCCCCATATTTGTAGGATTGCTTTGACTGTATTTTCATTCCAAAACTTATTTTTTTTCCTTTTTGCAGCGTACAAGAAGAATTGGACACTGAAGCTGAAGCCATGCGGGTGTCACAGCAAGATCTGCTTTCAGTTGGTGAATCAGTTTACACTCCAGATTATGATGCAGCCTCGCCTCTCATCAATAGAAACCTTATTCAGAAGGCTGGCTATCTAAATCTTAGGAAGTAAGGAGAGACTTGGGGAACTTGGCTTCTGAATTCAGCAGATAGTCTAGTACTTTAAGCTAGTTTCTGGATTTTCGGTGTTCCTATCTGATGCTGAATTTGTATGCCATATACCTAAAAGTGAAATGAGAGGATAACTAATATAGGGCTAAGCATGGATTGGCTGCATCTCTGCAAAATTTCATGAAGAATTCTTTCCTAGCCCCACCTGGGGAAACCAGGGGTAGGACCTGGGGCTTTCTGTACCTCACACTCTGCTCAGCACTGGGCTGTGTTCCCTGCACAAGTGTACAGTCAGGGTCATTAATCGGAGTGGTTGAAAGAGAATAAAAGCAATAACAAGTGGATATGTCCTGCCTTGTAGCATATCAGTGAAGTATCTGTGTGTTGGGGAAGTGGTGATGGAGAGTGCTTGGAAGAGGGCAGAACTGACACTGGATGCATGACATTGGAAAATGGTTGTTTCAGTGTTGAAAGAAGGGAGACCGGCTAACTGGTGGTGATGACTGGTGAAGACTGGTAGAGTGTACAAAACTGCCTGGTGAGGAGAAGGCAAGGATGGAGACTCCTCTCTCTCTCTCTCTCTCATATAATACTAGTTCTTGGCATCATCCTGTGAGTTGATTGGTGGGAGAATCAGGACTGATCAAAGGAAGCACTTCTCCACACAGTGTATTTTCATCCTCGTGGGATGTAGTGATGGCTGCCGATTTGGATGGCTTTAACGGGGGATAGGACAAATTAATGGAGGAGAAGGGCTGTTAGTACAGATGGCTGTATGCCATCCCCAGTAGCAGAGGTGGTGTGTCTATGTGCAGCATTTGCTGGAGAATAAGGGTGGGGCAGTGCTGTTGCAATCCTGGCCTGCTTGTGGGATCCTGTGGGCAGCTGGTTAGTCACTGTGTGAAGAGAATCCTGGACCAGGTGGACCAGCAGTCTGATCCAGCACAGCTGAACCGTGTGCTTTCTACAGCAAAACAGGGCTAGTGACTACAACATGGGACCGGTTGTACTTCTTCACTCAAGGAGGAAACCTGATGTGCCAGCCCAGGGGAGCTGTAGCTGGGGGACTGATCCAGGACCTGGACAACTGCTCTGTGATGGCTGTGGATTGCGAAGACCGGCGGTACTGCTTTCAGATCACCACTCCAACAGGAAAACCGTATGTGCTTCAGGGCTGCAGCAAGGGGGTGACTCTTTCCCCAGAGAGGAGGGTTGAAGTCCGATAAACTGTCTGTATTAATTGAGCAGCTTTCAACACAGTGAGAGCCCCCCCTCAACTGAAGGCAAAGACAGCAGCCTTTCCCGACTTGGTCCCCTTCAGATGTGCTGGGCCACAGCCCCCATTATGAGAGTCGAAGTCCAGTGCATCTGGCAGGCATCACATTGGGAAAACCTTCGTAAACCAGGATTGCAAAGGCGTTTTGATAGTATACACCTATCTACATAATATTATGGGTTACAGTCCAGCTGTGCAACCCAACAACTGCTTAAAATGGGATAGCCAGTGGATAGGGCAGCAGGAAAGCATGATAAAGACAGGTTGTTTGTTGGAACTGTAGTTCTTGGGGAGGGTTCCCATCAACAGTTCCTTAGCTGTAGACTCTGCACAGATGAAGAGCAGGGACCATGAGGAGCAGCTCGTCAGGAAAAGGACTCATACCATTTTGCCAGGTGACAGGTGTCATCTCCTCTGTTCCCCAAGAGCAGCCTTTCCCAACCTGTGCACTCCAGATGTCACCTGCAGGCCCAGTTATGCCTGGTGATCGATTCCCCTCCCTATACTTTCATGGACAACGGCTGCAAATCTTTCCTTTGCATCTATACCTTTTAGATGTGTAGAAGAAAGAATTGTGGCGAGAGCAGTTTGAAATGTGTCACTGCTGCATGGGAGGCCCATTGCATGCCCTGTCGTGAGAGATCCTGCAGCATTTCTTGAATATTACTGATCAGGCCCTCAGCCAGCTGCACCTTGGCTGCAGACAGGGGTTAATACATGTGGAAATACAAGGCAATCAAAGCTATCCCATACCTGGTGTTCATCCCAAATGAGCAAACATTTCACGTACCACCCCAGATGTTGCATCCTTTGGATAGGCAGCATTGTATGGGGCAGACTTCCCCAGTGGCTGTGCTTAGTGGGAATGATGAGGGTTTTAGTTCAGCAGACTTGAATGGCATCAGGTTGGGGAAGGTGCCAGTGGGAGGGTTGGTCCCACTGCATACTGCGCACACGCATGCACCTGTGTGTGCCCAGTTCCAGTCGGGACTATAATTGGGGGTGAAAAAGTAAGACCCAGTCTGGCTCTCTCCACCTCTCCCCAGCCTACTTATTTAGCTTTAAAAAAAGACACCAGCATCCAAAGTATATGACAAACCTCACCATCCCATTTTGTTTGGCCTGGAGTGTTCCATCAGATTTCTGCACATTCTAATATTAGTTTTCTATCCCATGTTTTCCACCTTCCTTCTCCTCCCCTTACACTGCGCTGACTTGATGAGAAATCAAAATGCTGCTTGGGTGTGATCAGACCTGTAGGGTCTCTAGCTGTCTTGTTTTGCAAACTCACCCTGTGTCTGAACAGATTGTGCCTCGGTTCAGATAGGTAAGCCACTCTTAGAGGAGAACATAGGTTAAGTGTGGGTTGTTGCTGAAACACCAATTGTATTTACATCATGGATTAGCAACTTGTCTGAACCCAGGTGAAATAACAAAACATTGTGAACCATCCCCAGTTCACAACTCAACAAGAAACCAGGGGGTTGGTTCATGCAACAGCGGGGCTTGGATAACACACCTTTCAGCAACAGTCCGTACTTCACCAACAACTAATGCTCAGCCTTTGCATGTAGGTGATCATGTTGTCTGAATCCACTCTATGTGGGTCAAAATGAAGAACAATAATGCTTATGCATTTCTTTGTAGAGGCATAACCCTTCAGGCAGAAAGTAAGAAGGAATATGAGGAGGTAAATTTTTTTCACTGTGTTAATGTTTTTCTTTTTTCTTTTTAATTAAGACTTCCAGAACTTCAAGGTTATTTTTTCCTTTGCTTCTTTTGCTCTTGCAGTGGATATGTGCAATCAACAACATCTCCCGGCAGATCTATCTTACTGACAATCCTGAAGTGAGCATGCTTTTGAGAGCTGGTTTTTTTCTATAAACGGGATTTTCCCTAAAATTTGCTTTCTGCGGCCCAGTGTTGGCTCAGGCATTTTGAACAACTATACTTAACCATTTGCGTCTGCTTCATTGGTAGGCAGTTGCTATCAAGCTAAATCAGACAGCGCTACAGGCTGTGACCCCAATTACAAGCTTTGGGAAAAAGCAGGACAGTTTCTCTCCCAGGTAACATTGTGTGTTTGAACAAACCATGTTTGTCTTGGATTATTTGGATGCTTCTTGTAATTAGGAAATTAGCACCACGGGGCAAAGGCGCTAGGCTATAATTCTGGTTTCTTTGACATGCACTTAGAAAGTTTTTGACATAGGAGGACATTCAATTATGTATTTGTCCTACTAGTACTTTCCGTGGAGGGCACTACCACATGGTATTTTGAATGTGTTGTAAGTTTAAGCAAGACAAGGTAGATCCCATCACCTGCATAATGCAGTTGCATGTAAAAGCCAGCATAGAGCAGTGGATTGAGTGGTGGACTGGGATCCAGGAGATCCAAGTTCTAGTCCCCACTCAACCATAAAGCTCACTTTGGGCTAGTCACTGACCTAACTCACAGGGTTGTTGTGAAGATAAGATTGAGAGTGAGAGGAGGATTATGGAAGTTGCTTTGAGTGCCTCGAAAGAAAAAAAGGCAGGATATGAATATAGTTAAGTAATTAAGACCCTGTGGTTAGGCAGTCCAACTTCTGGTGGACATGTACCTACTTAATAAAAGTTTTAAATCAAATTACAGACCTGTCTGTGTTTCTTCATACTGTTTATACTTATAGATTCCTGTCTAAAATTTGACATGTGCATGTTCAACATGATATAGATGGTGGAGGCCTACAGCAAACCATGGGGTAATTGATCCATGAATTGAGGGGATCCATACTGCACTTTAGCTACTTCCTGTTTGCTTTAGCAACACTCAAATGCTCCTTGCTCTTTCCATGCTATCTAAATAAGGGCATTTGGGGTAGTTTTGGGGGTCAAACAACCCCAAATTAAACCAAGGGTAAACTTGGAATGGTTTAACTGATGATCAATCATAAGTGCCCCTGTTTGGATGTCACATGAACTACTCTCCAGTGCCGTACTTGAGGACTGTTAAAGCAAACAGGAAGTGTGAAGGGGCCGTGTATCCCTTCCCCTTGCATGCCAGCACTGGGTGCTGCAATCACATGCAGACAGGTTCTCTGTTTTAGTTACTTCTGAGACCTTTCCACTACCCAAGTATTATGCTGATGATAGTCTATTTGAAAGTCTATGCAGACATTAAGAAAGAGCTGACCTGGCTTCTCTGGCCTTCATGGGACTCAGTCTTCCTTTCCATCTACCTTTGTCATCTGGAGCCATTCTTTTTCTCTTGCTTTAGCCAGAATGTGAAGAATGTGGAGCTGCTGAATGACTGGACTGTCCCTCAAGAAGCTGCCAGCAGCACTCCAGACTCCACCGAGTTAATTGCACCTGGAACACCAATTCAGTTTGACATTGTCCTACCCGCAACTGAGTTCCTAGATCAGAACAGGGGTGGCAAGTAAGCCTGAGAAAAATATTCTGCTTCCTAAAGTGCTCCCTTCTTTTCATGCCTTTTCTTGAGGTGTCACAAGGCGATCATGTAGAAGCAACCTTTACCTCTGTGTTACAGGCGCACAAATCCGTTTGGAGAGTCTGAAGATGGCAAGAAAGAGGATGAGGCAGGTAAGTGTTGGAGATGTCCTTAATGATGATCACAACTTGATTGCACCTGTCCTTCCTTAACATGCTTGCAGTCATCTGTGTACTTGGTACAAAGCTGTGCCATGAGCAGAGTGTTGGTGCACTATTGCTGTGGTATCCACAGAGGCAATGTCTTGTTCGCAAGCCAGGCTACCAGCTACTCCAAAAGTCAAAGAAGGCAAAGAATGACAAGGTCAGTTTAAGCCGGGGTAAATTCTTCCCATTTCAAATGTTGCGCCATCTTCTTATACCAAAGTGCTGTTTTGAAAGGGAAGAAAATCAACTTTCCATTTGGACCAGGATGTGCCTTGTGCAGCCAGCCAATGCCTTTAAGTGTTCAGGAGCAAAGTGTGAAAGTCTTGCCCTTCTCTCTCTCTCCCTCTCTCGGGGAATGACACTGCCCATTCAGTATCCTAAATACAGTTTGGCAATATGGAATCAGCTACTCCAGTGCAACCCCGTCCTTGGTAGTTTTTAATGGGATTGGAACTAGCAGTCATGGTTTATGGAACATGGAAGTCACAGGATTCAACCTTCAGATTAGTGCTGCAAAGGGATCTGGCAAAATATTTACATCACTCGATTACTTGTCACAACACAGGCTTGATTTTCTCGTGAATGAACATAGTGGCTGCCTGCTTTGGGGAGGAAGGCACAATCTGCAGTCTGGACTAATTTCAGAAGCCTTTTACAACCATTGCTCTTGCCAATGGTTCAGGCAGTCTGCTGGGAAGAGAGAAGCAGGTGGTAGAAAGAGAAAGGGCGACCCTGACCTCTTCTGCTCCAGGCCTAGCCCATCGCTGGCGTTGTCCCTAGCCACCTTCAGCAGGCAACCCCTGACAGGCTATAGCCCAAGAGAATCCCAAAGAGAATAGGGAGATCTTTGGTGCATTCATACATTCAAAGCAACACTTGATGCTGCAAGTCATGCAGTGCACATCCATATCTGTGGACAAACTCTTGGAACCCATGTACTGAAGAAAATATTTCTGTACCTCCAGATGCAGGCTTGGGTGAAATTGAAGTCATTCGGCATCTTGAGAGGCAATATAAACTGGCATGGGGAAAAAGTGCTTCTTTTGTCTGTCTCGTTTTCCCAGATTTGCTCTTGCAGCAGATGTTTGTAGTCCGCTTTCTAGGCTCCATGGCCGTCAAATCCAGCCACACTGTCGAGGTGATTTATGAAGCGATGAGGCAGGTGCTGGCAGCCCGGGCCATCCACAACATCTTCCGCACAACAGAATCACACCTCATGGTCACTAGCAATGACTTGAAGTAAGCAACACTTTCTCGCTATCTACTTCCTTTTTTGTGCTCTGCCTGCAAGCTTCTTCCCGGTTGAAGTAAAGCTTGTTCCAGGTGAGATTCCTGGTTTTGTGCTGATCCTGTGAGCAGAATTATGTTCACTGAAAAGGGGAACTCCTGGTGCCTCCTCACAGAAGAGGGACTCCCTCTGTATTCTAAATTTGCTCCAGAAAGTTGGGGGAGCCTCGGATGGTATAGGAGTGCCTAAGCATAGAATAAAAGCCCTGCTGGACCAGACTAAAAGCCTCTCTAGTCAAAAATGCTGTTCCCAGTAGCCAGCCTGATCACAGTGGCAAGTGTGCGTGTACAACTTAAACCTAATAGCACCAGCTGCTCATTTCTCCAGCAACAGATATGGAGAAGCACCCTGCCTTTGATACTGGAGGTAATACAAAGCCATCAGGATGACATTTGATAGCTGCCGCCTCCATGGGCTTTGTAGGCGAAAGAGAATTGACAAAAATCACCTTACACTCTCCCCGTATGTATGTATGTATGTATGTATGTATGTATGTATGGTATTTCTAATACCATGTGATTAGCTCAACCCTCTCAAAACAGTGTTAACAGGTGCCAGACCAAAGACATAAGAAAATGCCATGCTGCATCAAACCAACAGTCCATCTAGTCCAGCACTCCATACACATGGTGGCAACCCAGCTGCCCCAAGGAGGTAACACATGGCCAGCAGGGCTAGTAGCCAACCACTGATAGGCTCTTGCTCCTCCTCCATGAATCTGTCCAGTCCCCTTTTAAAGCCATCCAGATTGGCAGTCATCACTACTCCCAGTGGCAGCCAGTTCCTCAGTTTAACCAAACATTGTGTGAAGAAGTACTTAATTAAGGGCATTGAGAAATGTAACCTCTCTGTCAAAACTGGAACGTACATGTACCCAATCAATATGCCTGCCAAGCATACTTGTTAGGGTACTTGTTTGGCAAGTGCCAGCAAGATGGCAGTCAAAATAGACCACTGAGAAATAAGAGGTCCACAGAGAAATACTATGGTCAGGAGAACACCAGGAGTTGCATATGTACAAAAAAGCCTTGGGATTGATTTAGGAGGGCAGACCGCTTCCCTAATAGCCCCCAACATGCTCAATGGCTTCATTATGCTATTTTTTTTAATTAAAATGAAACAAAACTGCCTACAGTGAGGTTTTATTGGCAATGGAGTAGAAAAACACAATGGAATATCTTGAGATGGGTATGTGTGCCTGCTGGAACAAAAGAATATCACATTGCAACATTTTGTTTGTGGTTTTACTTGTAAAGCAGATTTTTTTACTGCAAGTCTACCTCTGTCCTAGTATGAAGACAGATAGCAATGAAAAGTGTACTGGCTAGTCAAAAATTGGAAGTATATTTTTCTGTCTCTGAAATCTATCACAATATCCACACGCACAACTGCTGCTGTGATGACTTGCATTTAGAGGGCAAGCAAAGAGAGAACAACATCAGACAACAGCAGTCCATAAATTTAACTTGAGAAAGGTAGAACTGTTTGGGCTGGTTCTTGGACCTACAGGAAACCTCCCTGGAACTCTCAGTCTCATCTTGCAGATGAGTCTGGAAAGAAGAGAGGCAGCTGGTATTGCTGTTAGCATGGCCTTCAGTAGTTCCCAGTACAGTCCTGAAATGTTAAGATAATAATATCTCATTTTAAAAAATATAATTTTTGGTTTGGTTTGTAGCCTCCGCAAAGGTGAAAGAAGAAGAAGGAACACATAAATGGAATTTTTTCTGAATAGAAAGATTTGCATGCTGCTTGGCTGACATGTGACTAAGTTTTGCTGGAAATGAAATTGCTGAATAACAGTGCAGAGTCACTGAGTTACACAGATCTTCCAAGTTACGTATTTCAAAAATGAAAGCTTGAAGAGGCACACTAGCTATTTTTGAAATAACAAATGTAGTTATTGCATACTTATATTTATACCCTGTCTCGCACCTCTTGCAAGGAACCCAAGGCAGCAGCTTGTTAGTCTTGTCTGTCATTGAACACTTGATGTTTTAAGCACAATTGATTTCATCGACACTTACGGTGCAATCCTATATATAATCTACATGGACAGAATCCAACAGTTCAATGGCCCTACTTCCCAGTAAACGTGCAGCTTGAGTCATAACCAGCTTGAGTTATGAGTGCAGTAACTGTTCAATTTTAATTCTTTCTCTCTACACCAACAGATTAATAGATCCTCAAACCCAAGTTACAAGAACAAGTGTAAGTATATTCATGATATAGAAATTGCAATCACTTTTGCCAGCTGGGTAGTGGTTAAGACTTAGTAGTTTTAATATTTGAAAATCTGTTTTTCCAGTTCGAACTTGCCAATGTGACACAGTTTGCTGCTCATCAAGAAAACAAGAGGCTGATTGGGTTTGTGGTTTGTGTTTCTGAGTCTCCAGGTGAAGATTCCATGAGTGCTTATGTATTTGAGAGTAACACCGAAGGTGAAAAGGTCTGGAGATGGTTTTCTTGCATTATTTAAAATACATTAAGAAGTTGTGAGCTTTAATTACAAGTCTTAAGAATTTAGTGAGTTGCTGACTCCCATGCTTAATTTTGTAAGAGAAAAAAACGAGCAGGGACATATCAAGGATTCTTCGAAGTTAACTATATTACTTCTTTGCCTAGATGGAGGGCTCCCAACTATTTAAAATCTGAATTTAGTACTATATTGCATCTCTGGCTGGAATTTAGTGGGGCCATCCACTTACGATCCCTGCTAGCCACAGTGGTCACTGATTTCCATCAGCCCCAGCTGACAGGTTGGTGAGAGTTGCCATACAGCATAATCTGGAAGGCCACAAGTCCCTTGGCTCATCTTAGAGTCATAGCATTGGAAGGGGTTTCAAAAGTCATTCCATCCAAACTGACTGCCACTGCCGAAAATCCACAATTACAGCAGTGGTCACACTATCTTATAGTTGCTAAAGCTTCCACAGTTCATTAATTGGTCCCAGCTTACTGATTTGCAACTCCTGCCATATGTTCCTGCTTTTCTGATCCTATGGTAACAGAAGAATCTTTTCAGGACTTACCAACTCTTCCTCATTTGTGTTTAGACAAATTTGCCTACATGATTGTAAACAGGGAGGTTGGTTTTTCTTAAATCATTACAATTTTTAAAAAGAAAATCCTTTTAGAAGTTGTTATAAATTTAATTCTGCTTGCTTTGCAGGTTTGCTATGCAATAAACCTTGGAAAGGAAATCCTAGAGGCTCGGAAGGTGAGGTTCCACTAGTCTTACTTTCACATCCTTTGTTGACTAAAGGCCAGCCTTGATGTTATTCACACAGTAAGCAATTACAGAAATTACTTTTTAAAGTCTTGTAGGTGTGTGAAGGGGCAAACTGGTTTGGGACTGCAGTACAGCACAAAGGGTTCAAGCCCCTTTCCCATTTGCTTTGATTGGTCCCCCACCCCAGCATTTTACTTCTGTTAAAGGCCTTTCATATAATTGCCTGAATGTTGCTGTGTCCTAACAATTCAATTGGGTCTCATTGTATTTTCATTATAGGATCCAGAAGCGCTAGCTCAGTTAATGTCATCCATGCCACTGACCAATGATGGAAAGTTCATGCTTTTGAATGACCAGTCAGAAGAGGATGATGTTGTACATGGAGATGGGCAGGAGGAGTCAGAAGCATAAGTTGTACATTCTTTCAGCACAGGTGGCTACATTCTGTGCTCTCAGCCTTGATCCAACATAGGTAGCTATTGTGAGTTAGCATGAACGAGTTTGACTTGCAATGTTTGGTGTGGTAAGCTGGAAATCAATGAAATCCCCCAACAGTCAGCATCAGTTCACTTGCTACCAGCACTGAGGAAATCCTGATGGCCACCAGCAAAGATTTAATGCAAGACATGCATCACAGCTCTTCTTGCAATGTTAAACTACTTCCTCTCCTCATATAATTCCAAGAATCCATAGGTCCACCTACTGCTAGCCTTTGCAACTAGGGCTGTGTGTACGCCACATAAATTTCACCAGGTATTCCTCTTATTTTGACAATGCAGATTGGAATAAGAGGTTATCAAGGAGACTGAATTCTTCCAGATATATATACAGCCCTATTAAACCTTGAGTCTCTATGTATCACAGTAACAGTTAATGGGATTCATTATTTCCATTATGCTAGTTTTTAGCCACCAGTATACTTTTAAAAGGGGTAACAGGAACACTATTTTGAGCTAAACTGTTTAGAACACTATTTGGTAAATACTTTCCTATTAATCTATTTTTATACTGTATCTGGAATAAGTTTTCAATATTAATCTAAGTGCCTACCATTTTTGTGGGGACCATACTTACACATTGTATAATTCTGGCATTCCAGCCCAGTGAGATTAGCAGATAGACCAGAAGTTATATATTAATCCCATCTGAAGTCTTAGCTACTCACTGGGGTGAATAGTAATTTCTTCTGGGCAAGTAACCTCAGAACTACCACTTATATGAGCCAGGTAAATTAACTTGTACATTCCTCTGTAAAGTTGGGTTAGTGCCCCCCTAGGTTTAACATGGACACTAGGTCAGTCTTAAACAAGCGCTCTCTACCCAGATAAAGGATTTCTTCAAGCCTAGATGTGCGCAGCCCTGCACATGAAGCACTTCTGAACCAAGAAAGCAAAGCACCTCCCAGGAAACAATCCAAGCATAGTGTCTGTAAGTTCTTATGCTCATGAGACTGTACAAACTGGGACACACCACTGCACTGGAACTTTGGAGTTTACTATTCAAGCAATGTTTAAGAACAGAGCCGGCTCTAATGAAGTTTACCTGATTTCTCTGTAGACAAGTGTTGGTTTTATAGTTAACAAAGCAAGGTCTAAATCCTGCAATTCTACTGTTTAGCAATAATGCTAGATTAAAATCTTCTTTGAACTAAATTAAGAGTATTGTGATTGTGTGAAACTTACAATTAAGTCATCTTGACTTTTGGAAAATATGAATATATGAGATCCTCTATAGCTCTAACTGCAGTTATCAGAAAATAAAACTATTTAAATTATGACATCTGAAGTAAATACTGAACTGACTCATTTAAGAACCTAAAGCAGGGTGGGAGTGATCAGAGACCACTGGGAAACTGTCTTCAGCTATCTTGTAGGGTAGGGTAAAACATAATGGAGCTTAAGCATGTTCATGAAGATTTAGGCAACCCAGGGCCTCCTGGATATTTGGAACTACATCTTCTCTAATCTATGACCAATACCAGCTAGTGCTGATAGGAATTGTAGTCCAAAAATGTCTCGGGAACACTAGGTTGCCTGCTCTTAATCCGTGTAGTATCTGTGGTTTAAGATTCTAAGATAACAAGGCTGTAAAAGTGTGTTGCCTACATTCTTCGAGAACCTCTGTCAAGGAGAATCAACAGACCAGTGTTAATTCAATGTTAGGCAGACTTAATAGGTGGTATGGCAACTTCTACCATAAAGAAGTATGGTGGTGCTGTGGCACAGCCACAGAGCTGTAGCTATCTCATGAACAAGTTCCTCTTCCAACACTATACATCAGCGGTCCTCAAACTTTTTCAATAGCGGGGGAGTTGAAAGGCTGTGGTGACTGTCATGGTGGGGGGTGCCGTCCGGCGTGCGCGGCAGTGGCTCGCTCACTCAGAGATCTCCCAGCGAGTCCAAAACCATCTCCAAGTGAGCAAGCCTCCACCTCTCTGCCCATGCTGCGAGGCAGCGGCGAGCACACACAAGAGGCAAGCAGCAGCTTGCTCGCTTGGAGACCATCTCCGAGTGAGCAAGGCACCGCCTCCGTGCCCACGCAGCAAGTGCATGCGTGAGCGGCAGCGCGGGCTGGATCCGTCCCGCGGGCCGTACTTTGAGGACCCATGCTGTACATCTTACCCCTGGGGCAATGGCATTCCATTGGAGACATGTGCGATCTGCTGCAATGCTGAGTCAGTGTTGTTGCCATCTTACGCAGATTTATCCCAACTTTTCATCTAGATTAAATTTTGTAGTATGATGATGATGCTCCTTCAACTAATATTTTCTCAGGAAGAAGGTGGGACAAATTGTTGAAGCAAGCAACACAGGAAGATATTACAGTAGGAGTGATGACTTAATTTTTACTAGCTATACAAGGGACAGTCTGTTTTGGATAGAAATTCATTAGTGCATAGAAGCAAGTACTTCACTACAGGTGGGTCATGTAACATCAAAAGTAGTTAGAAGAACTAAAAGCAAATCCACTTTCCAAAGTTACATTTATTAACATTATGTACAGAATAAACTGAATTGAGGTAACAACTTTGTAAAACAAATTGGAATAAGACATATTTGGTCCCTTTCATTCCTGAGAATTTAAACATAGCTATAGATGGAACTGGTCAAATTAATTCAATGACAACATGCAACAAGACCTCAAATCTGTACCTCAGGTCAGAAGCTCAAACATACAAGAGTCCAAAGTACTGGTGACTTGGCTGGATTGATCCATGTCCTCCTCCTTTTCCCCTTCCATACTACTCTTATGGAAAAGCATTTTAAGATCATGTAACTGCCAAGAGTCTCTTTCACTTAGATTTCTGCTATGGGAAACTGCTTTTAGGGGTGATGTTCTGTTACAGACTTAATGGAAAAGAAGAGATCTGAATATGAGAAGAAAAAACTCATTTTTTGTAAACAAAGCTTATGAAAAGAGGGACCATTAGCTGCTGTGTTTATGCATAAATGTGGATTATTCAAAGGCAGAATGAGCGAGAAGAAACAGTACCTCCATATCAACTTACTGACCTGTACCACCCTTTTAATGATGGAAATCCCTCCCCCAGTTTCAAGCCACCTATAATCAGCAGCAGAAAGAACTCTTGCCTACCTGAAGCTGCATGCGAGTGATCTTAAGGGGATTCCATTCCTTGTCACCAGTAGGAATATATTGCTACCTGCACTAACCATGTTAATTGGAAATCACATTAAAGACCCAAATTGTTCATTTTTTAACAGCTTCTACAACATGAAAGGTGTTCAATGACTAACATCCTTTATTCACAATTAAAACTATATTACTGTACATATGTATATATTCACATAAGCAGTGCATGTATATGAGTTGAGATCCAGGTAAAGACTAAGGATGTGTATAATGTGTCACTAAGACCATGGTTGTTTGGTTAGCACTGTACAATTCAGGCACATGTGATGCTCTAAGTTAAGAATTCTGTCAAATTGGAGGTCAAAAAGGAGAAATGGGGATGAGTATGTTTATTACAGGAGAAAGGTGTTTGTACACTGTCAGTCTCTGAAAGACAGAGGTTGCCCCTCTAAGCTGGCAGGTTCTTTGGATTCCAAAGGTCTATAAACTAGGGCAGATCTTTAAGCTGGGACATAACATAATAGGAAATACACAGCAGCAGCAATGCCAAGGGTGTAATTTGACATCTACCTGATTCAGTCACACAAAATACAAGAGAATTAAAGAAAGAAAGCTATGAAATAGTTGTAAGAGTAAATAAACAAATCTCTCCCCCCCCCCACACCAAAACAAGTAATTTAGGCCAAAAAATGTATTTTAGTGAAACTTCAACAGAAAGGATGAACTGTCAATTTGGAGCTAAACGAGCGAGGATTTTTTCTATACTTTTTCTTCTGCGACATTATCAAAATTCAGAAGGTAACATATTCCATGCTGGATTCATCTCATCCATTTCATGAAATCACCATTGTACTGGATTTCTAAAGAGCAGGGGGAAAAAAGATCAAAACTCGGATTGCATGTTCTGTCTGGACAACTTCAGCAACATAACTTGCCCTCTTTGCCTTGCATTTCCCCAACCCACCAGAGGAACTACAGAGGATGGGGGCTTCAGTTCTGTCAACTGCTAGTGGGTAGGCACAGTTGCATACAACCCTATTGAAAGAGAAATACGTTAACTAGGTCCTAAGATTCGTAAGTAATTTCCTTTGTTAGAAAAGGTGAGAAACAACAATGATCTTTTCTAATTAGTTAGAAAAATGGAGCAGGTAATAACTCTGTCTTACTAGGTTGTGCTGACTATTCACACATTTTTAGTTTACATTTTTGGTTGAGAAAAACATTTTTGGTAGGTAGAAGTTTCCCCTGAAAGCCACTTAGAATGAATGTGCAAATATCCCCCGGTTTTCTTCCTGTTCAGCACCACTGTCCTTCCCTCCCAGCTGGGGCATCTTCCTTCTCAAACTATCCCATCAGAGATTATCTAGTAAAAGGACTTATATCACAGTGCTCAACATCATCATAATGCTAATACTGAAGGTAATTTAAGCAACCTGGGAGTTGAAATTGGGTGCAAAATACACGCTTTTCAGTTCAGGGATCATTTTTAGTTTTATTATGCTGATCACCAGCATGAATCCATTGAAAGGTAAGGAAGACAATGTCATCAAGCTAGAAATTCAGCCAATTACTCTTGCTATTGTAGAACTTTAAATCCTAACTGCAAATTAATAGCATTTCTAACGATGACATTCTACTATGATAAACTTGGGCTGTACTACCACATTATACAAAAACAAAGGCATACCACAGCTCTCATTTCACAAGAGGATCAGCAGAAGTAGAGCTGGACATATCTCCATTGTTTGTTTTTACAGTTTCATCTATGAGAGAAAAGGGGTTGAACCTCACAGCAACAGTGTATTCTCTTTATCAAAACTTACTTCACACACACAGAGAGGCACACAAAACATGCAGCCAAACAATATTTACATTTTAGCATCTAGATGAGCTCAATGTGAGTAAGAGCAGCTGACATAACTGATATAAATGGCTTTCCCCCCATCTATTTAGGATGTCCCCCCACTGACATTGCAAGAAATGGAAAGAAAACTGCCACTTTACTTCCACATTACATTATTAATACAAGAGCAATTCCCTCCCACAGCTGACAGGATTTTTTCCATCACACCTCCAAAGTGGCAGTTTTGTGAAGCTGACAGGGAGAGGCCTGGCATAGCATAGTAAGGGCCCTTAAAAATGGATTTTTAATAAATATGCTATACTTAAAGCATCCAAATTTGGATCATTGCTACATAATAGCTAAGATGAAAAGCTTATATGTGTACCAATATAGACCATCAAGACATGGTCCACTTAATACTTTTACATTCTGTGACATCGACAGCATTTAGGTAAACCCTGAGTGTTAGAATAGAAGATCCTACAGACAATCTCTTTTATTTGGTTCTCAGAACATGAGAACCCATTGTTGTGTGAACCAGGGTGGCTTGTTTGAGAGCAACACTTTATGCCCATTGTGTGCACAATTCTTTTTGTTTTTGTTTGTGTGGTTAATGTTTGCCAGCCAATGACAACTCATCCCTTATGCCTCTTGGGAACTTTGGAGGGACTGCCTGTAGCTATGATGAGAATGTTAACACTGGCTGTCAAGCTGGGTTTGTGATATCTGAAAAAAGGAGGAGCTTGCAATCACATCAATGGGGGAGCAACAGGAAAGTGAAGTCTCCTCGAATAATTCATGAAGGGGAAAGGAGGGAATGAACAATCCACAGTAAGACCTATCATCTGTCAGGCATATCAGGGGTTGTTCAAAAACAATCAGCCTACCATGGCTTATTGTCAACGTGGTCTTTACGGATGTGCAAACTTACTCTCTTTCTTTACTTGGGGCTATCTAAGACCTGTGTGTCCTATGAGAGAGTAAAAACCCAGTGCCAATCAGCCTGAGAGGTCTCAAGTATAGTTTGTAATTTCATTCGCTTTAGTATTTTAAAACTGTAAGCTACACCTTGTGTGTATCTTGGCAGAAAGGGAGCACATGAATGCATCAAGCAATCATTTTCAGTGTGTATGTAACTAAGGATATCATTTAAAATGGCATCCCAGAGTACTGAAGACCACATCAGAATTGCTTGGTAATGGAAAACCTCATTATTTCTTGTCCATTTGGGACAAAGGCAGATGAAGTTTGGCTTCAATTTAACATCCTAAGCAGGAAGAGTTTAGAACAATGTCCACAGCCAATTAACTGACTCCCCCATAATGCAGAATCTTACAGGATTCTTGCTCATTGCTCTTCTGAAAGCAGCAGCACTACTGGATATTCCATTACTCTTTCATCATTCTACTATCCTTTAGGCTTATAAAGTACATAGCAACAGAAAATGATTTGCACTGAATGCCATTACTTTCCCTGAGACTTTAACACTGTTCACTAACCTTCTCTGTCTTTTTTATCTTGATTTTCTTCTGCTGCCGTTTTATCTGCTCTAAAAAAGATCCTTGCACTGCTTAGCGAGAAACAAAGTAGTTCAAACTCCTATGAAAAATTAAAGAAAACCCCTCTGCGAATGTTAGCATGTCACAGAATTGAAGTCCTCAAAATATCTATACATTTCTTAAAGTTTAATTATACCAGAAACTACTAATAATGTAATTCTGTATAATTTACATCTAAATTAGCACAGGTCAATCCTTAAAAATCTAATATAGGGAAAAGTAGACCACCTTTCAAAATGAGGTCACAACCAATCAGTGTATTTTTTCCACTTGCAAGATTGCAAGCCAAGTTTACACCATAAAGTAGCTTTAGTTCATTAACAGAACAGTCTATAGTTGTATTAAATACATACATAAAGAAATACAATGTATCCTGATTGCCTCCCTCCCAATTCTATATATAGTATTTTCATAATTTGACTGCATGAACTGGCCGTTTATTTTGCTTTTCATGGAACTAGTATGTCTAACACTCTGATTATCTGAGTAATACACAGACATTGTCCTCTAGCAGAAATTTGAGAGCAGTTTTTAAAAAATACTTAAACATTATGATCTTAACAGCAAGTTGTAGCTTGATCTTATCTTCTCCACTGAATAAGATGTTAACATTTAATCTAACAAATTTAACTTTCAATATGCCACAAGCTTACTTGATGCTTCAGTAGCCATAACTCTAAGTAAGTAATCATACAAGTGACAGTAAATACCTGCAAACAAACATCCAGTCGCTTGTGAGTAAGGTTCATAGTCTGTAGTAGCTTTTCATCTTGACTAGCTGACTGGACGTTCTGTTGCTTTGTTAATGCTCTGATCTCTCTCAAATACTTCTCTCGTACTGACTGGAACCAGTGCAGGGAGTCAAATTCTTGGTACTGGTCTAAAAGCTTTAGAATGTAAGCCACACCTGCAGGGTTTAGACAAGTACACACCTCCCCAAAGTAAGTAATGAAAAAGTAAGCTTTTTATCACTAGTATCATAATCAGCTTCCCTTGTCATATATTTAAACTAAAAGAAGTCAAAACTGCAACTCTATAAAGATGTGACTGTTCTTTGCATTTCTGTTTTCTCTGATCTATATCAGAAGTCAGTATTTACAGTTTAAAATAGATTTGGATCTCTGTCCACAAACAGGTGACAAATTTTCCATCTGTGTTCAAGAGGGAAAGAAGTTGTGAAATTTTTAAAGAATAATATACCGAAGATGAAACTCAAATACTTTGGCCACCTAATGAGAAGGAAGGACTCACTGGAGAAGAGCCTAATGCTGGGAACAATAGATGGCAAAATAAGAAGAGGACAACAGAGAATGAGGTGGCTGGATGGAGTCACTGAAGCAGTCGGCGTGAGCTTAGGTGGACTCCGGGGGATGGAGGAGGACAGGAAGGCCTGGAGGAATGTTGTCCACGGGGTTGCGATGGGTTGGACACGACCTTGCGACTAACAACAACAACAATAGCAAGGAAGCCAATGACAAGTTGTCAAAATCCATTCAAGACTACAGTTCTGTCATTGGGTGCACATCTGTCAGTATTCCTTAATTCAATTCTCCAAGAAAATTATTTTCACTAACACACTAGTTAATGCTGAAACTTTCCAGTAACACACACACACAGAGCAACCAGTCAAGTGCCAAATGTATACACTCAGTAGACAACTAGATATATTATCACATATGAAGATTGCTGTGGTTTTATTGTCTTATGTTAATTCTTTTTTCCTTTCTTGATTATGCTTTTTATTTTTGTTAATGGCCCCAAGAGCTTCAGCTGTCAGGTAAGTATAAAAATGAAATGAAATGAAATTCATATCGGACCATGCAGAACAGTATTGTCTCCTCAGATGGACAGTGACTTGTTTCACAATCTTTTAACTTGGAATGTCAGAGAATAATACAGGACCTTTTATGTGCAAAACACCTGCTCAACCACTGAGCTACAGTCCCTTCCATATAATACCACAAATGAAAATAGTATATGAAACCTGTTAATCCATACATGTCTTCCCCAACCTGCTTCTCTCCAGAGGTTTTGGAATATAAACTCCTTGACCACTGGTCATACTGGATGGGTGTGACATTCGAAACATCTGGAAGGCACCAGGTTGAGGAAGGCAAGTCTATAAGCTTTTCTAAACAACATTCTCTCCATAGATCTTTTAAATAAGTGATTCTATAGGGAAAACATCAGTGTACAAAGGTTGAACACTGAACTCACCCATGGCAAAGCCATCGTCAGTGAAAGCTGCACCAGCTTTATTCTTTTTATTCAGTTTCTCCTTGCAACCAATTGAATGTTCTATAAAGTTGAGAGCCTAAACAAAAAAGAGAAAAAGCAGTAGAGTTTCCAAATAAATAAACTTCACAAAAATGGTTAAAATTAAATGATATAGTCCAACAAAAAGGTAGCAAGGTAGCACACATGCAACTTGTATGTATTAGTTTTGAACACATCTGCTATGTTTGTCTTTTATCTCTCTAGCTTCTTTACATTTGAAGAATTATACAACCGAGGCAGGAGTACAGTTTTAAATATATCTGTTTTACAAGGATATTATCTGTCTAAATATCAGAGTTAGGTAATCTAGTCAGATACTTGGGGTCTGCCAGTTTCTAAGGCCTCAGGCACAGGTTTTTCACAGAACCGCTATCTGAAACCTTTGATGCCAGGAGCAAAACCCAGGAGCTTTTACATATTAAAATATACTTTCACCAAGGAATTTGTCCTCCACATATTAGTGTTAGTGTTGTAGGCACAACATTTGTATATAGTTCCAACACACAAGCTAGACAATTCTGAAGGAGACTTTAAAAACTTTGTGCATACTATTTTAACATTCAAGCCATTTCAATGCAAACACATTCCACAATGTGATCATTTTTATCATTTAATTAGCCAAATAAGGAAAATCTAACCAGTGGGGGTACAATTATATAAAAGTTGCGCAGATGCATGTTCTTTGGACTGCGAAATTCAGGAGCAAACACATCCACAAGCATTTTGAAGTACTCTGTGCCTTCTGCAGAGTTGCGTGTAAGATCACCAAGTACAGAATCCAGTTGCCTGTAAAGCAAAGATATACCTGAGTTCTAAAGGGAAAACAGTCTGATTATACTAGGGCTATAGACAATTTTATGCAAAGGCTAAGTACGTGTTCCATGATGATCTAGACTAGAGCGACTTTATGCCAGAAATAGTTGAATCTGCCTTAACTACTTTAAGACAGTTTGCTTTCTCTTAAGACCTTATTAATCTTAAGAGAAGATTAATTTCTTCTAATAACTTTATTTATACATTTAAGAGAAAATTTATACATAAATTTTAAGTATATGACACAAATATTCTTTTAGCTCCATAAGAAAGATTCAAAGTTGTTCAGTTTTTTAGCCCTTGAATCTGCAGTAAATTCCTTTGAAGAAAGAAATGTTTTAGGAAAGAGAAATCAAATGTATAAGATGGGGGATAATTTGCTCAAAAATAGAATGTATGAAAAAAATCTCTGAGTTGTAGTTGATCACAAGCTGAGTAAGAGTCAGCAGTGTGATGTGGCTGCAAAAAAGAAGAAAATGCAATTTTAGGTTGCATCAGTAAAAGCCTGGTTTGTAAATCATGTAAAATAACAGTTCTAGTTTATTCAGTGCTAGTGAGACCTGTTCTCGACATCACACTTTAACAACCTTTCAGATAAATTGGAATCAGTTCAGAGGTAGGCAGTCTAGAGGACTAAAAACTTAGTCCTACAAGGAAAGATTGAAGGCATAGGGTATGTTTGCTTCTGAGACAAGAAGACTGAACAGCACTTTCCAAGTACCTAAACGGATGTCACACAAGAGAGTCTGCAATCTACTCTCTATTAGCTAGGACTTTAGAACGGAAAACCTCAGGCTTAAGTTACAGGAAGACAGGTTCCAGTTGAATGTCAGAATAAACTTCCCAGCAGTCAGCTAATGGAACCAGCTGCCAGGGAAATGGTGGGTTCTAGCTGCTGGAGGTATTCAGGAAAGACTTGACAGCTACCTGTCAGCGATGCTTTGACCTAGATTCCTGCCCGAAGCGAGGGTTGAACTTAATGACCAAAATAGATCCCTCCAGTTCTTTGATTCTAAGCACTCAGATTGCCTCTTACATGTGAACAAACTCTCAGCAGAATGTGGTGTCAAGTGAACAGCAATGCAAGAATAAGAATGTTTATTGTAACCTCTACTCTCCAGAAGGAGAGTCAGCATATAACAACACTAAATAAATTCAGTCATGAAACTAATAATGAAATAAGAAATTAAATCAGTAATTTAAGATTTGTGAATGCGTCTAACTATGGCTAATTTTTATTTTCTAAGTGATAAGACACTCATAATGTTTTGTTAAAGAATTTTAACAAAAATGTTCTCTCTCATCATCACAACCACATTTGCAGATTTTAAAGTCAGTGTTCTACTTTCCATTAACTAAAGAAATGTTACATTGGCAGCATCCTCAACAAGCCTTTCTTTATTTTGCTAAGTTAACAGAAGGTAGTGTTCTCAGTTGTATCTTTCTCGTCACCTTAAGTCAAATTTTAAGTATATGACACAAATTTTAGTCCACTCAAGGTTGATTTCAGTAAGCAATGTGTAAAGATTGCCACTGGTTAAGTGTTTGTACAGCAAGGCCAAACTACAAATGGTACAGAAGATTAGTGATTTTTTAAAAATTCTACTTTTAAAGCAGACTGGGTGTTGCCTGAATCCCCCACCCACCCACCCAGCTAAAAGCTTAGGCATGGTTCTTTAGGACAATAAAGAAGTTAGGAAAAAGGGCTAACTTCTCCAACTACCGGTACAAATTGCAGAGATCATTTTAAAATTCAAATTAAAAAAATCAGGAGAGTCTGACCAGTTTGCACAATCATTGTAGGCTAAACAAGTCACAGTGCTAGGCAATTCGTGCAATCAGCTGCATCCATTACAGCTTGCACTTGGGTAGCATGGCTTGATGAGAGGTAAGAACACAACAGCAGCCCAGGAGTAATCTGAGAGTAGTTTATCCCTCAAATAAGCCATGACATGCTGTTCAAACAGCATGGGGTGGGGTGGGGGGATTATGCAACTCACACCCAGCATGTGCAGGTTGTTCAGCCTACAGTGATCATGCAAAACAGGGCAACAGATCTTCTACACCATGTGTAGTTTGGCCTCAAGTTAATTCTTCAAAAGATTTTGACAATTAAAAAACAAAAACAAATTACAAAATCAGAGTAAGTAAATTGCCCTGCCGCATCATACTAACATTTTCTCTGGCCCAGCTTCCCAAAGCAACCCACCAGATGCTCCTGGGAAACCAACGAGCAGGACATGAAGGTAACTCCTTCCCCTGCTGTGGCTTCCAAACTGGTTCCCACAAAATATTGGCATGAAAATCTATCAACAGAACCACAGTTTTGTTTTGACAGGTTTTAAAATACAGTTCCAGAAGATTTTTTTTAACTTGACACAAGGTATGTTACCTGGCTGCTTTTTGTGTTTCTTCTGGGAGACCTTCCTCTTTGACAAGTTCTTCAAAATTAACAATATCTTCAAGATCAGGAACAAACCTAGAAATATTAGGTTCATTCATAATTGTACATCATGGCATGCATACAAGAACTTATCTCTGCATTTCTTAAATAGTTTTATTTCTCTCATGTTTTATCACACACATTCTAACATTTTACATGTCTACCAGAGGTCTAATTCCCAACTCCCACATTCTTAGGCTAGCTTCAGTTTGCTTGAGCCAGCATACAAATACCTTAAAATAGCTTTTTAGCCTAGCTTAAATCAACCAGCTGCAACAATAATGCAGGAGTGGCAGAAAAAAGCATAAAACAGGGGATGAAAGTCATTGAAATTACCCAACTGCAGAAAGACAGTTTTGTAAAAAATATGTAAGATGGCAATAAGCAGTAGAATTATTTTATTTCTGCAGAACCAGCAATTATACCCTAGATTTTTAACCTGCTGAATTTCATACTGAATCTGTAACTTTCTTCCAGAAGTGATGTATAAAGAACAAAGCAGATTTCAAACCAACTCAAATGCCAAGTTGATTATAAAGATAGCAAGACAAGGAAAACTCTGTTTCTGTGTTCCTACTGTACTTTGTGCCATCCAGTACAAGTCCTGCTATAATAGTAAAGCACACTGCAAGGAAAAAAATAAAAGTAAAAGAGACTACAAAGACTATACAGTAACCTCAACAGGCAAGCTGAGGTATATCTTGAGCGTACCTAATTGCACTGCTGCAGCAGTGAAGTCCACCAGACCTTATCATCCGTACATAGCCCATAGCATTTCCTTTAAAAATAAATACAGTAAATAAGAAATGTATGCATCAAAGCAATATTAGAAAAGTGACTGGTATTTAGACAAATAAAACCTGCTGGGCACATCTAATAAAGCTGAATTTCTTCCAACTATTTAATTGAATTAATTATACTATATAATTTCTAAGTATCATTTTTGTTACATGCTATCATCTATAGCTTATGGTTTTAATATGTTTTAATTGGTATATCTTACATTGTTTTAAAATATCCTCTTCTGAACCACCCAGCCTTGGCTGTTGGGCAGTATAGCAATTAAATAAACGAATTGTGAATGTATGAATTAATGGCCTGTCCTTCACAGTCCTGCTTAGCTCATGTAATCTCAACGTTGTGGCTTCCTTTATAGAATAGAACAACTCCCTTTTACCCAAGCCATCTTATGTTTCTTAAACAACCACCAAACTGTCCCACATGGCAAACCACTTTTGAAGGACTTCCCAAAGTAGTCTTGATATGACATCCAAAAAAGTAAATAAAATCAGTAGGCATGCCCAACATCTAAAACAGTTCTTTCAATTTTAGTCTCAAAACAGCATTACATGATATAAATTATACATGATTATAATATGTTTCAATACAGTAATATACTATATAGCATCTACTTTCATACCTATCTGGCTTATTAGTTGCCTGAATTGGTCAAGGTAACTTTGTCCATCAGGTGTAATTCCAAGTTTTCTGATCCCCCTGTTGAATTTCTCTGCTCTCTCAAAGGGATACTAGATTATTTTGATATACATTAAGAAAAAAGAAGAAACAATATAACCAACTTATATTTTGAGAAGAAATTTTAAATGCAAACATAGTCCAAACACCTATAATGGCATCTGAATGCTATGTTTGAAATACTTTTTGAAGTGCCATCTTGTTAATACAGTTTTGATAAACTCCTGCATTCTGAACATACTAACAGCCCCAGTTAATAGGGGTTTTATTTCCCCTATATACTTCCCAAGTATAATCCCATTTTCCTAATAATGCAGTCAGAACTGATAAGGCCTTTTGTAATGTAAGCTTAGAATAATTAAAATAGAAATAGATTTAATTATTCCTAGAATAAGATTTAACGGAAGAGGTGTGAGCATCCCAGCTCTCCAACAGCTGGACAGGCTAGAGTTCTCAAGCCAGAATCAAGCTAATCAGGATTATAAGGAAAGAAAAGGCTAAATCTATTTAAGTTTTACATACAACATACCTTGTGATCATTTTGATCTTTAACTTCCCTAAAGAATCGGATATCTTTGATCAGCCTGGATTTGATGTGTTCATCATACATGAACTGGCTAAAGATATAAAATTTCTTTCTCAAAAACTGGTATGTGAAATTTACCTGAAGAAAAGTATTAAAATACAATAAACGTCACTACTGAAGAAGTAATAGTATTTTCATGCTTCCTATTTGCATAGAGACTTGCATATATATATATACACACACACATATATATTCTGTCCAACAATGCTGAAATGTTCCTACAGCATACTATTAAAAGCAAATTCATACATTAGTGTTCTGATATGACCACTGCTTAGACATGGTAAGGTCTTGTTCTTGTCTAAGAACAAGAATTACATGACATGGATGGATGTCCTTCCAAGTCCTTCCTGATGCAATGAGAGCCAGTGTGGTGTAGTGGTTAAGAGTGTGGGACTGGGACTCAGACGATCTGGGTTTGAGTCCCCACTCAGCCATGGAGCCAACTGGGTGACTTTGGGCCAGTCACAGACTCTCAACCCAACCTACCTCACAAGGTTGTTGTTGTGGGGATAAGATGGAAGAGGAGAATGACATAAGCTGCCTTGAGTGCTTTGTAGGAAAAAAGGCAGGATATAAACCCAAAAATTAATTAATTAATTAATGGAGGGTCCACCATAACTTGAACCCTTGTATCAGTTAGCCCCAACATGTAGCACCACCCAACTTAAAATGAACCAATTTGCTTATAATGTAATTGTCCTACTGAAGACAAAGTGTGTTGTCAAGCTGGCTTCTCCGCACTTCTGTAGAAAAAAGAATAAGCAGAAACATGTCGATGGTGAGTCAAAAATGGCTCACGATCATGGTCAGGAGATTATTTGGTGCTGCTAGATGGGATGAAAGATAGCAGAGGGAGGGCAGCAAGCCCTCCATGGTTTACTGCCAAGGTAGGTTGGTGTGACATGCGAATGCACACAATGTGTATCTTTGGTCTTATGATTAAGACACTTTCCTCTGATAGCTTCTTCTATATTTTTCACAGTACAGTTTAAATAAAGTAAATAAATGCTAGAACTCAGATATTGTTCTACAAAACATTGAGTAATACTTACTGTTGTGTTCATTATTCCTGTGCCATGTGTTCGAATTGAATTAGCAATGTGCCGGATATTTATGGTGTTCAAATGCTTATTATTGCTGATTCTCTCAATGAAGATCTACAATGAAACAATTGCTGTATCATTATATCTACAGAATGGAACTCAGCCAGTAATGGGAATATTTCAGGTGCATATTCCCCCACTTCCCAGCCTCACCTGATTATTGAGATTGTAGAGGTATCGGGATACAAATACATGAATATTCCTCATGATTTCCAGAACATCAAGACCCTGCAACAACAACGTCAGACAATTAACCACCACCACATCTAGAAATAATCCAATTAATATAGTTTGAAACTTTTACAACAATATAAAGACAATACAAATGGAGGGCATCTTTTATTGCTTTCTTTCCTGATGGAACTCCAGACAGAGCACATGGAGTTCCGATATAGTTCTCCCATCCAGACATTAATGAGACTTGCTTAGTGTTAGCACAGTTGCTGCTATCATGTTTCCTTCGAACAGGGTAAAGAATCTGTGGCATCCCAAATTAGTTGGATGAAGTTTACATTTTTCAGTAGACATCTACAGAACTACAGTGTAGGAGTTCTGATGTACTGAACTCCAGGGAAAGTCATAATATTTTGAAAACATTTTTTAAAATACAGAAAGATCCAATTTGAAAACCAGCATAAACATGATGTACCTGTTCTAAAGTCTGACTAGGAAGATGTGCTTCTGTCATAGTTAAGCCATAGCGCTGAGTTGCTAAATTTCTCATTTCACTGTATGTGGCCCAATCATGTAGAGCTACTGTGGTGAGATTGTAGAAAGTCTTATCCAGGTAATGTGTCACATGGGCTGTAAAAAGAAAAAAAACTGATTTCACTATAAATAATTGGAGAACAGGGAACAGAACAAGTCTATCTACAAATAACACAGGCCATCTAGAATTTAGTAATCTTCGAAATGCTTTGTAATCTGGAGTTAAACCAGACAGACTGAGAATGGACCACCCCCCAAAAAATGGTAACAGAAACAGGAATGGATCTTACAGTTTCTGAATTTACAGAAAAAGTATGTTGATATAACAGTTAAGTACAGCCTACCTTTGATATCTATGAAACGATTAAAAAAGCGAATCGGGTTCAAAGAAAAGAAGTGGGCAAGATCCTTCATTCCAACTTTGAATGGATTTCTGTCATCTAATTTTAAGTGTGTATGCACAGAGAGCCGCAGATCCTTTTCTATTTCTTTGCATAATTTGTCCAGAAGGTGCTGCTCAAAACAAAAGTCATAACAAACACTATTTTCATAGAGTCGGACACATCCTTTTTCAAAGGAGACTTGTTTCTATGTAGAAATTATGTTATCTTACAAAAGGTGAAATGGACGCCAACTTGCTTTCTTTCTCTGATGTGGGACTGTTAGATAACTTTTATTCATAAACAGGATGAATGTGTGAGCTATTATAAATGCTGTACATATTACTTAAGGTAAAATTTTACGCTGTTGTCCCAAGAGTCTATCTGTTGACCAAATATTTGTATACTGTTTAAAATGGGAAAAGTATATTATGCATGTTAATTTTCTATGGTATCACTGTCTAAAAATTAAATTCTGTCAAACCATAAGGAGAAAACCAGGAATAATATATTATAATATGCAGTTTATATTATAAGTCTTACATGTGCATAAGACTATATAAAGAAATTCCCATTTCTTTAAAATAACTCAGAAAAATAAGAAGAAAGCAGAGAGGTATGAATTTGGAGTGACAAATGTATTTGTATGTAATTGTGATTTTTATGGTAGTAGAAATTTACATGTAAAACTAAAAGTACTACATTTGGGAAACTGCTCTATAATTCATAATTTAGGAATCAGTAACCAGCTGTCACAATGCTACTGCCATGAAACTTGAGACTTTAGATAACAGTAGATATGCAATTCACATGATTCATTCAGTTCCTATCAATCCCTACTCCTCTTTCTCCTACAATTCTGCATGGACTTGATTGGCCTTCTGATCAATACTAAGCTGCATTTCTTTCCCACTGCATAAGCCCAATGAGAAATACAATTGATCACATCTAGTAAGAGCCTGTGTATTTAATATTAGTAATTTCATCCCAATATTTAATCCTAGTAATACTAGGATTTACTAGTAGTAATCTGTAATATTTTGTATGTTTTTCTCCCTAAAATCTACATAATAAGAATCACTGTTTTTTTATTTACAGCAATGGCTACCAGCCTGATGTATATGCCTGCTCACAAAAATCCTCAATAGCAGATTTTGATAGATATTCCTAACAGCTTTTATATAAATAAAATACAATACTTTCATGATTACCTTATTTAAAACATCCATGATTTCTTTGTCATAGCTTTCCAGAAGAATCTCATGGGATTCCAAGTGCCTTGAGTGCATCATAGCTGGTACGCAATCCCGCAAAGCACTAAACATGTACTGTAAATGAGGTTTCAAATTAACCAAGAATCCAAGCAACAGTATAGGCTAACAGATATCTAAAGCCAACATGAGATCCTGAGCATGCTGAACAGTAATGAATCACTAGACTATATTCAGATTAATACCAAACCAAGGTTCAGCCTTTGCCAACCCAATATCCTCCAGATTATAATTCTCAGAATTTCTGATCATTATCCATGTTGGCTGGTAGGTAAAGTCTAAAACATCCAAAGGGCACCAAGTAGGAGAAAGGATCAGCCTCAGTAAAACTTGGACTGGCATGCTCTGCTCCTCTCTAGTCTTCCTCCAATGTGACTGCAAGATCAGAAATCTTAGCTTCTATTTTAGATTAGCTTCAGTTCAGTGTATTAGACCATGCTTACATTTTATTATGGTTAATGGAAGCAAACCAACCTTGTAATGCATGGTCTGAAGTTGACATGCTTCAATCAACCATAGTTTGGCTGTGTTTGGATAACACAGCAAGCAACAGTTAATCTAAAACAGGTGAAAAACTCTGAGCGCCTTCCCACAGCTGCAAAGGCATGGAAGGGACATATGTGCAAGCCCCAGGTCCATTACAGCTTATTTTAGAAACACTAGGGCTATAATTTGCTTAAGTCCAAACAAGAGCTAAGTCTGTGCTTGGAAGACTTTTAAAGAAAGACCTCTGAACACATTGGTCTGGTTAAATCATCATTTAAAAAAAAAAGGTCAGAGATGGGGAATCTCTGGCTCAAAGGTATAATGAGACCTAGAAGTGACAATACCCATGTGCAATGGAAGGAAGAGTCTTATGTGCAGTCAGCCATTGATTGTACATAAATGTTTCTTTCCTGTGGCACAGAAGCAATGGTACTAGGAGAAGAAATGTGTGCATATTTCTGAGTAGATGTGTAAAGTGCTAGTGTTTGGGATGCTTTGCAAAAATACAACTGAGTGATTCTTTCCTGTTTACTCCTGAGTAGACTGGTAACAATGAAATGGAGGGGGGATTTACAGCCCAATATTTTCACATATTTCCTGTGTCCACCACAACCATGAGTATGGGGGACACTGAGAGCTTTTCCATCATGGAGTTCAGCTCCCAGGCTGTAAAAGGCTGGTCACTGTTGTTTTAGATGGTCACAGATGAGCATCAGCCTTTCCTGCTCTCCCTTCACTTTCTTTTTCCTTCACAAGCTTTTACTTTGGAAGACACAGGTCTATATATATAAAAATGCTAGGAACTGTGATTTGTTCTTACTAAAGTTTATTAACAAATCATGATATTAAACTATGCTTTCACATACTTGAACTTGTTTCTGAAAAATATTTCAGATTATTTTTTACTTACATGTAACCTAGCAGCATCTACTGCATTTTCGTACACATCATCCAAATAAATTGGAAATACAGTTCTGTGCCAGTACAAGAAGCAGCAGTCACATTGTGCTTGGACACTAGATAAGAAATTAATAGGGTAAAAAAGCAAACATTCACAATTTATGTGGTATTGGAAAGAAAGACAAATAAGTGAATCCTAGATCAATTAAAGCCAGAAGTTGCAAAAATGACAAAACTGAAGCTGTGGAACTTGGGACACATCATGAGAAGGCAAGACTCACTGGAGAAGACAATAATACTAGGGAAAGTAGATGGCAATAAAAAAACAGATATGACTCAGTTCCATAAAGGAAGCCAAGGCTTCAGCTTACAAGAGCTGAGAAGGGCTGTTAAGAACAGGACATTTGAGAGGGCAGCCATTCATGGAGTCATCATAAGCAGGACATGACTTGACCGCATGTAACACCAACGAAGTTGACGTCGAACAGTCATTTGACTTTCGAACAATAGAAAATTCTCAAGTTACTAAATCTGCATATCTAAAAGCTACATTTCATACCAAATCACAAAATCCTAATTATGGCACGGAATGAGAGAACCAGTGTGGTGAAGAGGTTAAAAGTGCAGGACAAGATTGTTGTTGCTGTTGCGAGGATAAGATTGAGAGGAGAAAGAAAATTAGGTAAGCTGTCTTGAGTTCCTCGCAAGGAACAAAGGCAGGATATAAATATAATACATAATGAACATTCTGCAAAAGTCAACAAGGCTCCATGCAGAGATATAAAAGCTCAGGGGAAAAACCTGTAAAAATCAAGGAGAGAGAAAAAAAGTGGGGTTTTTCATTTCTTTTCCCAGCAAGAACTTTAGATTCAATTTTGTATTATGAGAGATTTCCTTTCAAAATAATAAACATATTATTTAATGGGCAGCTTGCTCATAAAATTACATTTGGTACATTAAAGTTAAATAATAATACATCTAATAATAATACATCTTTAGCACACTCTCAGTGGTCCATATTGCAAAACTACCCTGTTTTCCCATTATCCTTCTGCAGTCTTACTTACCGTTCCCTAAGTTCACTGATTAAGGCTAACTTTTTCATAACTACTTGAAGAGGAAGGAGCTCTTCATCTTTAAACGTTTTCTGAAAGATAGGAAGAAATAAAACAGACATGGAGGAATATCAGTTCAATATTGCATCACACTGTTACCACTAGAGTGTATACAGAAATCACTGTTGCACTTACCATTTGTGTGCCCACACTGAGGGCAAGGGAAATAACAAGTTGTCTCTGTTTTGTGCTAGGGCCATTGAGAGTATTCTCAGCCAATACAAGAGCAGAAAGTACATCAAGGCGCTGTTCACTGTACTTTTTGTCAGAAATTACTCTTTTCTTGATTGAAAAGATAAAAAAAAGAATTTGCATTTATAAGACTGCATTAATTGCATTTATAAGACTGCCAGAATTATTTGCCCCCAGAACTCAGGTATGAACAATTTAATGCCAACGAACCCAATTTATTAACTATAAATTACAAAAAATGATCTCCAATCTAACTCCCTCTCCCTCGTTGCAGCTTAAGTAGTCATCACATTCTTGCTGTCCTGAAGTCACTTAGACCTTGTGACTTTCAAAAGACTAGTGGGCATAGCTGACCAGAGACTCTTCCTTTATGAGGCCTTTTCAAATGACTGGGAACTCTGCCAGATCAAAGATTCACTTTAATTTCAAAACAGCTTGAGTGAGACAAATCCCCAGTGAATAAGCTCAATGCTTCCTCTTCTGAATTCATTCTCTTTTGATGCTCATTCATCCATGCACTATTATTTTAAAATCTCACTTTACAGTTGAGGTGACTAATTTATTTGGTCTTTCTTTTCGATTTTAGATTAGTTAACAACAAAAGAAATCAGTATGTGAACTTGTCTGACATTTCATACATGTTCAGATAAGCATAAACCATAGTTTATTATTTCACCTGAATGCAGTCCATAGATATCTTAGACTGCTAAGACTTCTACTGATTGCATTCAAATGGAATGCTAATTTAGTGCTATGTGAGTAAGCCTCCAGTTTGTGAGCTTCCCCCTCCCTTCTGACATATCTTCAGGGAGACTGAAAATGCTCAGCCGAGTTCAAAAACAGTGTGAAGTTGGCTTGTTTCAGTAAGGCAGCTAACTAAGACTAACCAGTTTGTCCTGGATCAGAGACAACACTAAAATGCAGTTAACTGAAAAAGAGAAAGAACCAAAAGCTTTGGATGTTCTCAAAGTTTCACTGGAGGAGGAAGAGGAGGACATTAGCCTGAGACTCTTTCATTCAGGCTGTGATCATATGACATGACAAGCTACCATGGTAAAAATTCATAATGGGTTGATAATTATACAAACAATCCAGCCAAAGGGTTGGGTTATTATCCAAACAATAACCAATGGGTTCTTTATTATACCAACAATCAGGCTCACTGTACGTTGTTCAGCCCCTCACTCCCCTTCAGTTGCCCCAGAGTTATCCCAGGGGACGACAAAGCAGGACCCACTCTTCCACCATTAACTTGATGTGGTTTCATGTCCTTTTGTTCCTTTTAACATTTTTATGGAGATCTCAAAATGTGATCTCTCATTTGCAGTTAGTGACAGACCCCTCAAAGTGCACAAGTGGAAAACAATCAACTTCTTTTTTAAAAAATCACACCACAAATATATACAATTCTGTCTTTCTGTCTTCAGCCGCACAGATCCAAAATGGCATGACTTGTCTGGGTAATATCCAAGTGTAGCAGGCAGCTCTCATGGGGACTGACCAAGAAAAGCTGCTAAGGACTTTATTTTTTGTTTTGGTTTTGGTTTATCTGGGCTGCTGTCAAAAGCTAAGCTGTCAAGAGAAACCACAGTCACAAGTGATTTTTGCTCATGAGAATGGGGTGGGCACTAGATCGCCCCCTTCACAGCGAGACTTCAATGAGTATTTTTCAACCAGTCTCCTCTGCAGGTCCTCTCACTTTGTCCCACTATCCTCAGATTCTATGTGCTGCAGAAAGTGGGAAGCTGTGAGCCATCCTCCTTTATGGGAACACAGAGGTTTGACAGCAAGCTGTCATAACTCCAAGTTGTTTTAAGAGAGGGCTTTGGCAGGACTCCTGATGCTCTTTTCCCACAGGGAGATATTCAAAACTGATGGCAACAGAAAGCCACAACGAGCAAGAAGTGCTTGCTATTGCAGTGGGAGGCACAGAGCGAGTCACTCCACCATGCCAGTTGTGCATTGGTGGGGCACTGGACACTGGTAGTGTCCTAGATGTTTTTGGCAAGGGAGGGGATTTTGTCATTGTCGCTAGGCAGCTCACTAGCTGGTACTTACAATAGGCTTGGTCACCAAGGTTTGAGTATCCATCAACAACCCCTAACACAACAACCCCTAACATGATCCATGTGTTGTCAAGGGGGTTTTCTTGTCCATGAACAAACCACCCTGTAGGAAACACAGTTCAGATTTGTACAACCTGACAACCCATTTGCCTTGTCACCCATGATGGGTCATCAGGTCATGCACATTCAGTTATGGCAATAAACCGTGTCAGAGATGCAGCCAGCTTCTTGTACTTTTTCAGGTACTTCATCAAAAAAAAGGGGGGGGGATAAGTATTTCTGTAAAACAAAAACTGAGGACATCTGACCTTGTTGAAAATGCTGGACTCACTGAAAGCTAAAATGATTTACTTACCTACAAGATTATGTACTATTAAGAACTGGATTTTTAAAAAACAAATAACAGAAGGTTCTTGCCTTTCAATCTGTGGTCATTAATCACTACTGTTTTCATGTATGCTTTGTCCAAAACTTGCAACAAACTGGTGATGAATTGCTGGTGAATAATAAATTTAAGGTGACACAGAATAGGGTCATGCACAGGGCATCCCCTTTTTCTGTTGCAGTATCTAAAACCAAGAGCACCACTTTGACCATCTGAGCTCTTAAGCAAATTTTAATGAAAACGCATAGTGGGAATATTCTAGCTACTACAATACTACTCATTTTAATGATACTGTTTTAGGTTGTAAAATATAAGTACTTGCTGAAACTTTTATTACATACCTTGGCTACAGCAATGGCATTAAGAGCTTGATACTGAAGGTGCTGAATTATGTGCGTGACTGAATCAGCAACAACCATACTTCTTCTGTAAAATGTATGTTCTATTGCCTGCAGTTGACCACATTTCAGAACACAAGAGTTAGCATCACAAATTGTGTAACTATAAGTATATTATAGGTTATATATTATTGTTATAATATGTGTACAACGGTAGCATTGGTCTCCGGGGTGGTGGGTACACTCTTTCATTTATCCTTTTTTAATTATTATGTTCTTGTTATGTTATATTATTGTCGTTGTGATTGTATTTATGTTTTTCTGTCTAAAAAATAAAAAGTGGGGAAAACAAATTACATAACTATGATATTACCTCCTCCTTATGGAAAATTATTTACACCAAATGTTTAACAGTCCAATCGATATGAAGGATGTTTGATTCAATTTGAATTATTGATATCCTACCATCAGTAACAACTATTCTAGTATTTTAAGACCACAGTCAGATATCCATTTTACAAGCAGAGTACATTAGATTCTGCTTGCATGTATACAATTAGGCATCACTATATGACTTCAAAGCAAGCATCACCTTTTAAGAACCGGGCCTAAAGTCATTTCAGAATCATATTTCAAGCAGAAAAAGGATGTAGTAAGGAAAACCTTGAGGTATATAGTATGTAAAAAAATGGTGATAAGTATACCATTTAGAACAGTGGTGGGCTATTTTTAGAGGTTGTGGACCATTTTGATTATTGGGCTACAAGACCCTCATCCCTTCCACATTATATTTCTTTCAGTTACTGTTTACCTCTATTATACCCTGCTTCTGCCTGCCTTATAAATTAAACTGACACATATCTTAAAACTCATATCTATATGACAAGCTTCAGAAAACTACTGCAAATACTAGTATCACCAAGAAACATCTGAAAAATGCAACTTACTTTGAGAAGTTCCACAAGCCTGCACAATGCTTTAACTGAGGTTTTAGTCATAGGCCTCTGCATTGACATATGCAGATTCATTGTAGTTTTAATGATGTTACTAAGGCTATAAGCATAAAGAAACCCCTAGAGATAAATTAGAGGAAAAAGTGAATCACCATTTACTGTTTGCTATATAAGAGCAGTTTGTATTTGCATTAATTTTCCAGAAGTTACAGTTCAAACAAAGACAAACAAAACAAACCATGGTCTGTCACTACGAAGTGAAGAAATCTAGAATGAGCCTTGGGCTCTCTTCTTCCCTACCCTGTGATCTGCAGCAAATCACGATGCCCTGTTACATCCAAACCAGACATAGTCATAAATAGAGTAGAACCAGTGAATCAATGGGACTTAAGTTAGTCATCACTAAATACTATTTTTAATAGGCCTAAGTCAAGATATAACTAAGATATGGTTCACATGTGATGACAGCCCAATTGTGAAAAACCTCTGGGTTGTTGTGTAAAAGTTGGGATGAGAAGAGTAGAAGCCTCTTCCACTTTTAGCCCACCAGTGAGCACCTTTGTGGGTTGCAGTGTGGGACTTGCATATCTGGACAACTGGATTCTTTTAACAGCCCAGCAGTTAACCCATGGCTTGGCATCTCCACTCCTGCATGGCTTTACATGAAAACACCTGAATCCAACCATGCATTTTCTGCTTATTGAATAATCCAGAACTGCAAGCAACATTTTTTTCAGTTCATATGCAAAAGCGGATTATGGTTGGACAAACACCAGTTAGAGCAGAAGAAAAACAACACATATGAACCTAACAGTACATCAATCATCATTTCTAACCATGTTACTTTAGAAGCTAGCACATACCTGTATAAAAACATTGCACCTGTTAGTGAGATCCTCTGCAAACTTGTCCGCTCGTTGCTCCTTCGACAAAATAGATTCCATTTTCATCATCCATGAGCTTACAAACACATAATACGATTGCATCTCTCTAAAGTGAGAACAAATACTCAGGGTTAGTTAAAAGTTTGATCAGATAGTCCAAACCTAGGTTAAGGAAGCACGACTATAGTTTGCAGTCATAACTGAATTGGCAAACCATGGCTTTCAGTAGGCTGCAGAACAGGAGTAACAGATTGACACAAGTCTGCAGAGTCTTCCTTGACACAATGCCTGAGTTGACAAACTATAATTACAACTATTTGTCTGATTGCAAGAGTTGCTGCACCAAGGAAATGCAAATCAATCTATGAAGCAAACAAGCAACTCCAAACTGTTTTGAATCTTGAGCTTCAGTCAGAATGCATCACAGTATGATATGTCTAATTTCAGGCAGTGCCAACTTGATAAACATAACTTGGTAATGAGACTATATCAATCTTCAAGTAAATTGAACAAATATGATGAATACATCCTCTGTTTCAAAGCATATAGATAATGTAACAGCCTGCTCTTGAATGTAAGGGCCAGTGTACACAAAAATACCCCCAGAAGGGGTGGGGGTGCTTTAAACAGCTGTGTTTGTGTTGCTATCTCCATGTGATAAATTATATAGCTATTCCAGCACATAAATAAGAGGTATGTTTTTCAGAGAGTACCAAAGAATTTCTAAAGAATGTTTGTAGCAGTGTGGAAAAAAAATGGCATGCTACCCTGATTAATCATTTCAAACTACCTTCACATGGATATGAGTTTCATAGGCTCCAGTCTTCCAACCAACTTATTTCTTACTTTCACATAAGCAGGTTAGAATTGCAACAGAAAAGCATATTTCCTAGGTGTGAAGTTACATTAGCAGTACTACTGATTACTACTAAAAGTACAAAAACTATAAGAGACAAACACAAATTCCCATGTGTTTAGATAAACTAATCACATTTACCAAGGAGTGAATGCCACTGATTCCTACAGAAGTTGTTGTTATATAACATGTATAGCATTGGGATTTTAGCTAGTTTCTATTCCTTTTCAGTTGACTTTTTTAGGTACAGAAGAATTTATTTATTTATTTATTTATTTACATGTATTTATAGGCCACCTATAATTGCCAAGACCTTCCTAGGTGGCTAGGTATCAATTTAAATAGGCCAAAAAAGTTGTATCTCTTCAAAACTTACTTGATAAGTGACTGCGACTTTTGCTGTAGAAAGCTCTCTCTGTGTATTTTTACAGAGTGAAAACTTTTCCTGTCCAGAAGCTTGGCAGCAGCTGGCATCTTCTGGATCAGAAAGGTGTCAGCAAACCAAACAATATTAGCAGTAAGTGTGATAGCTGGCACCTGAAGCAGCAACAGTAACATTTGAGCAAAAGAGAAAATGAGTTTCTAGTAGGGTGGATATTGATTTTCTATGATCAAGCAATTCAAAGATATTCAAATACACCTTGAAATCACATGCTCACTACCTCCACAAATGTTGAATTATCCTATAACCGTAAGCCATCCAGAGACGCATAGTGATTGGACAGGTTAGACATATCCCAAATAAATAAAATAAATATAACATACACTGTTAATTTTTTCATCACGTATTCCAAGGCATACATATATAACAAGACAGTCACTTTCTGTCTATTGTCTTAGGATTTCAACCATTTCTGCAAGCTCATCCACCATGGGAGTGATTCATAGAAAAACCTGTGGACTGCCCCACAGACAACAGTGTGTAAGTATGTCTATATGCACTCTCTCCTTGTCATCTGTCACCTACTTCACTTCCTCACTTCATTTGACAGCTGAGATAGACAAGGAAAGGCTATACATATTGGATAGCCATAACAGCACTGGCTAACAACAATAGTAATATAGAATAAAAATTGTGAATACATTTGTGCAATTTTCTGGGGCTAAAATGGTGTTCAGTGCAGGGCTTTTCACTGCTCTTGCTAGACAACTCACTAGAGGATCCCCACAGCGCACAATAAATTGCTGTTCAGGATTTGGATAACACAACAATCTATCATGGATCAAACAAGCCCTGAAAGAAGCTATGGGTTGTCGGGGTGACTTGTTGGCAAAAATAACCATTCTGTTGAAAGCGGTCCTGGTTCAGATGATATGACAATCTATAGTGGCTAATTATATCCATAATGGCTTTTCATGCCATGCAAACTGAATCAATAACTATATGCTCACATATAAAAAAAAACCCTACATAGAGTCAATAAGCAAATTTATAGCAAGTTTTGTTTCATCCCTTGCCAAGGCAACAGAAGTACCATAGATATTAGAAAAAATTGTTTCTTTAGCTTCACACAGGATATCTACTTTTATTATTCAGACAGGATAACAAATTCAAACTATAAAAGAGAAAAAAGCTACTAAAATATTTTAAAGCTAGAGTTATTTGAAAGCTAGAAATTTATACTGAGGATAAATTTAATTATAATATCTACTTACATTCTCATGTGTCTAAACTATATTTATATTAAAGGCTTTATTTTCACATTTTTGTAGGAATTTCAACTCTTAAAGGAAAGTTATAAACAGCAAAATTTTCACCTTCTTGCAAATGTCCAGCAACGATTTGTAAAATTTCTTGTCTACAGTCCGAAATATCTGAAAATGCAGTACAAAGAGCCCACAAACTCCTACGTACTTATCTCTCTGATCAATTTCTGAGGGTTCACCTTGAATAAATATACACAGATTAAAAAAAATGAAGTTTGCTACTAGACAAACAAAAGGATAAGTGTTTCAAGTGATAATGTGAATAAAACAAAAATCTATTTTTATTACCAAGTTTAGATTCAACATTTGCAAAAATCATGCGAATACTATGCGAAAACTCCTCAGCAAAAGTGCTGTTCTTCGATACTCCCCCACTGAGGCGATCAAACTGCTGCTCTATACAAGCCTAAGTAAGGACAAAATATGATTGGTTTATAACAGAAGCATTATGGAGATTAAGAGAATAATGGATAACATTATAGTAAAGCAATCATAATTGATGGGGACAATTTAATTTATAAGTTGTCCTAATACATTAGCCAGCGAGTTTCATGGCTGAGCAACACTAGAACCCAGATCCCTCCAGTCCCAGTCCAGCACTCTCATCACTATGCCACACTGATTGTTATTAAAGCTATTATTATTATTATTATTATAACATTTCTATGCCGCCCCTTGCCGAAACCTCGGGGCGGCTTACAACATGATAAAATACATTGAAAGCTATGCTATCAGTGTCTATGTATTTTTACCCACTCACACAAAGGAAGAAGCACACGGGCTGCATGTATCAGCATACAAATTTATTTAATGCTTGGATAGGCCAGGAATCCTGGCTTATTGTTATATACAAAAATGTGGCCACAGATTCTTTACAACAACTCTTCCCCACATAGTAAATTTTACATATTTTCTAGGTAATTGAAACAACAATCTAAACAAGTAAAGTTACTATTTCCCTCATTTATGCAGGCCTGACTTATAAACAGCTTGTCAAGCATGTGGTGGGAAGGGTTCGTATTTGCAAACAAGATTTCTCCATCCAACTTGGCAAACTACTTTTCAAATTGAGAGAACTTCCAAAGTGCCTGTCATATGGCTTTCAGAAAAGAAGTCTCCCATTACAGAACATCTTAAATGTCACATTTAAATTCTATTAAGCATATACAATAATCAGTATTGCTAATGTTACCTGGAATATCATCCCATCCAGTAATTGGCTTTCTAGTTTCAATAACAGCTTTTCAAATGGCTTCAATTTATCTTCCTGGACTCCAAATTTAGAGGGATTGTGATGGACAGATTTTAATAACCTAACAAGGTGAAAAGAGAAAGTATTCTCAGACTTTCAGTGGTGAGGTGAATTCAGAACTTTGTGGAAGAGCATACCATTAAACATAAGATAGCCACCATCACCCAACACACACATAAATTTTAAGACTTCATTGCTTGATTGCATTCCTGCAACAGAATATCTCTGAGAATGGCATTACTTTATGCTGAAGTCTTGCTTCTAGGTACATTTTTAGAGGAAAATGATGAGTGCCCCCATCATAGTCAAGGGTGTTAACTATTGCACATGTGCAGCTTAAACATGCTCATATCCTTTGGTCAGTGTAACAATAATTACAACATTAAGCAACATTAGGCTTTTGTTGGAAGTCAGTGATAAAATCCAAGAGGCAGAGCATAAAAGCCTAAAAAGTAAGAAATTCAGAGCAAGCCTCCTAATCAAAATCCAAAATAGGCATAGTCCAGGAGTCCTTTATGTGATCGTAAAAAAGTAACAATTTCAACAACAGCAACGCCAGCAGAAAAAAGTAATAATTGACCCACACACCTTTTGTACATGGTCCAGTGGTCTTTCAGGGTGACATGATTTTCTATGATTTCATCCAGTGTGAGTAAAACTGTCAGCAGCTCCCCCAGATGCTCATACATAGCCTGTTTGGAAATTATAGTTTATCCATTTAGACTGCTATACCCAGTTTCCTCAGTATAATCTCCAATGAACTCAGCGGGGACTGTTTTTGAATAGACAGACTTTTGAACAGGATTGTATTGTTAGTATCCTCAAGAAAGCTATTACATAGCTATTAAAATCTATTAAAAACATAGCACAATGCAATTCTTACTAGGAGAACAATTCTCTCATCCCTACAGAAGAGTCTCAGGGAGCACAGGTCTGATAGGAAAACTGTTCTGAGTTTGGAGGCAAGGCACACTCAGAAGGGGTATCTCTGATTTGGAAGGAAAATCAGAGCTCCGACCCCCTTCCCATTCCCTTGAAGCCAGTGTGAAAAGAACCACACAGCATGTTTTCCAAGTTTGAAAATGTGACCTTGAAGGAGAAGCAAAAGGGTGCTCCAGTGAGTGGGAGGGGAGGACACTGGAGAAGTCCAGTATATGAGTTATCCTGAGCTTCCTTCAGTCTCCTTCCCTCCCTCTCTAAAGCACTCTCCACTGTCAGGCAAAAAAGACTGTCTAGCAAGATTTGCTAAACACTGAGGGCAGAGAGACAAAAATCACCTCCTCCATTCCCCCCGTCCAGCTAGCTTCAGCCTACCATGGCACAGGAATCTTAGAAGTTTCCAAGCTCAAAGGCTTCTGAACAGCAGAAGTGCAGTCCAAAGGACTGTACCCTAAAAAGATTGCTCAAGAGCAGTACAGACAGCACAGTCCAACCTCCAGGTACTCCGAACGTTTTTACACACCATGTCAAAAACCACAAAGAAGTCTCACCTGAAAATGAACTCCTGAAGTCTCTATAACTTTAGGGGCATTCCTGAAAGACAGAAGAATACTGTGCTTCACAACCTTTAATTAAAGTATTTTAGGAGCAACAGCATTTAACCCTTAAACAAGTTAACTGTCAACTGCAACATAACAGCCAATTATTGTTCATTATTTATATTCCACCTTTACTGCCACAAAAGCAATGCAATACTATCAAATGCAAGACAAAATATATCAATATCAAAATAAATTAAAACCTCCAGGATGGAGAGACAGATAGATAATGAATGAGCTGCAACAAGCCATCAAATACTTGTGCAGTTCCTTTACCTCCTTCAGTTTTCACTCCTTCATAAGGAGTTTTGAAGCTTTTTAGTTCCAGTTTTGATTAACCACTCCTTTCTATGTCATTTGAACACAGACAAACAGCCTCCATTCACAAGTCATGGTGCCACTTTGAACTTGCAACCTCCAATCAGATGTTGTTCCACAACATTCAAATCTAGATCCAGATGCTATGGGTTTATAAGATTAAATAAGCCACAGTTAACCTAACAATTAACTGTAGGTTGCCTGGGGGCTTCTTAATCACGATTAACCCATAGTGCCCAGATCTGTGTCACAAAGCAACCTCTCCTCTGATCACAGGTTGCACATTCAAAATTAACTCTGGAATTCACACCACTATGTGTGAACTAGATCATTTAGTTAATCTTAACTATGGTTAGCGGAAACAATACAGTTTTAAGCTAGATCGTAAGAAGTTGGCTTATTTCTACTAACCATAATTAAGAAGTCATGCTAAACTGGGGCCAATCTTTAAAAAGCTGATGGTTCTGATCTCATTGCAGCCTTGTCCAAGGAGGAGAGGGGAAGGAAAACATATAAGCACAGAAGAGCCTAGGATTATTCTCACAATATTAAACCATGGTTAATGTTACAACTAAACAAATCCAGACACTCTTTTATGAATGCAGAGGATTCATCAGACAATATCCCATATTCTCTCCCCAAATATACAACATTTAGGAAGTTAATCAGCATGATATATTTTAATATGTGTATTGTATATTTAAAAATAAGGTTTAGTATTATTACTTGTTACTGGTATAAAGTACAGCCAACTGGTGAACTACATTCATCACCACTTCATAGCATCGTGTCACAAAGCAAGTCAGCTCCTGAAACAAGTTTGGTAAAAAAAATTGTATTAAAAACTATTCCTCAATAAAATTAGAGTACATTATTATGGAGCAATTCAGAAAAACACCCTTGTAATTGGACACATTAATATCCTATTAAAACAAACAAATATGCTACAACCATAACTATGTGCCACATAGTCAGAGTATTTGTGACCTGAATACTGCCAAATCCCTTGACATTAGCAGCAGAGTCCTGGTTACAGAGCCCATAAATTCTAAATATTTTCAACACTATTTGATCTCTCCAGAGACTGACCCTGAAGTTCCAACTTCAACAGTTATGCATACTATTTACTGTTACTGTCCGGGTAAAAGGAAACTGACTAACATTAAATTAGGACTCCACCCAGAAAGGGATAAACCATTACTAGTCAGCATTTTCTATCATCTGGAAAGTGCTAACAGCCCCATGCCTTAACAAGTAGCAAAAGAAAAAAGTAAAAAAAAAAAAATCTAGATTGCCTGGAATACCCCCCAACAGTATGCTATGAAACAGTAAAATATTATCCAAAATGTTATCACTTATACCTCTGTAGTTTTAAAATAAAAGAAAGCAAAATATAAATAAAACTGAACAGATTTGTTATATTTAGATACCACACAATTAGCCAAAGCTCTCTGGGCCATTCACAACAACTGAAACCATAAAAGAGATTCCAAGTGTAGGCTAACATAGTGCCATATACATTGAAACAATCAATAGATAGATACCAGACAATAAAATGTAATATGTAAAAGTTTAAAACTTCAGTATAAACATTCAAATAACTACTCAACAGAAACCAGCCACAGCACAGAAATTTATAATATAATAAAAAGAGCAGGTATGTGTAACAAAGACAGGTATCAATTTCCTGGAAAGATTACAGAAAAACCACCAGCTGATCTTTACCCTAGATAGGGCTTTTCAAAATCATATTTTTCTCCCTAGTTTAATTCAATTTTACACTGAAAATGATTAAGATACAACAATCACATGCTACTGAAATTATGCCAGAAACAAAAATAACAAGTACAGGAAGTTTAGCAATTCAGAACCTGAATTCATTTTTTTTAAAAACCCTGCAGTGGCTATTTTTTTTTCTAAAAATACATCTCTTTTTTAAGGTTTCTTGAAATACTAAATATCTTTAAATGAAAGTTCCTTTTACAAGTCAGTGTTTCAACCTGCATAGCTTTTGCAAGGAGTAAAAGTTTATTTTTTGTATCTAACTACATTGCATGTAGTTATGATCTTCCCTCAGTCTAGAAAAAGGCATAAATCTCACTAACTGCACTTTTGAGCAAGGAGGAATTGAAAAGGAAGGGGGCAAAGAGGAAGGAGTTGCTTAACTCTTTCCCTCCCATATATTTGTCCACTCAAAATTACACAATTCCCCGGCTACTTTTCTCCCCAAAAGAGAAAATCTTAGACTTGTCCCTCTCCCTTTTTAGTTAAGCAAGGATCCTAATCATGTTTTAAAATTGATTTAAGAATTTAGAATAAGTTTAAAAATCAGTACAACAGATACCTGTAACAGTCAGATCAACATGCACACATATATATCAGAACAAAAATGACTGCACTGCTAGAATCTGTGTTTAGCTTTTCCTAGGAATTGCTGAAACAAATCCTGCAAAACCAGGTAACCAGAAACCACAGGCAGGCAGAAAAACAGACTGAGTGTAACGCAAGTAATGACAACCATACAACATTGCACCACAGGTCAATGAAATCTATTGCCTGTGCACTGCCCAAAAATGGCTTAAGCAAACATTTACAAGTAATTGTAGCAAGCAACAGATAGGAAAGCCACTGCTTAACAGAGAATGTATTTCAGAAGTTATAGAACCTTATCATAGAATTTACCTGTAAAAATGAAATAAATCTTCCCATCTGTATTTGGCTATCTCCTTCAACCTTACTGGAACCCACAGCTTGAAAGGTAAAAAAAATACAGCAAGATGATTTGATCACAAATCAGAAATAATTAAGTGGAGAATTCTATTCCCTCCTACAAAATATAAAATTTATGTGGCTATTAATGAGATCTATTTATTTGGATGCTTGCTCACTCTGCATATATTTTTAACTATTGTGGATCACAAAAACTGACAGATTGCTTAGTACTATTACTTTTGTGTAAAAAACATCAAGAATATTATGAGAGGCAATAAGTACATTTAATGGCATGTACATCTATTGTGCCAAAATCATTTTTCTGTACATCTCATTTTAAGTCCATGCTATAAGCCACCTACAATCAAGTTTTCCCATCCTTTGCCCACATGGCAAAAAGTGTACGTTTGTCACATGCTGACCATGTTCACACAGAGGGCAATATCCAACAAGTCATTTCACTTATGCCACTGACAAAATGGTAGAACAAACAATCTCTAGCACAATACCAGCAGCATCAGAAAGCACAACCAGTTTTCTTTGAGAACCCATTGTTCCAGCTGACATCATCGGGCATTGTGCTAGAGCTTGCTCCTGCTAGCACTGCATCCACTGTGAAAGCATGGGAGCCCAGCTGGATACTGAATATGTGCATATTCAGACATATACAGAGCATATATAGTTTTCTAACACATACATTGCATCTATGTAGAATTTTTCCACCACTGTAGCTTCATGATAGAAGCAACTGTACATGACAGACTCTCTACATCCATTTACTTGAATATGCCAGCTCTATCTGAATGGCATAGCCGCGACAGAGTCAGGAAAAAAACAACTACTGGCAATAATGTGAATTTTGCAGCTGCTTCAGCTCTCTTTGCTTCCTGCCAGTGAGGCAAAAAATCAGAAGTGCTTTGTTTTAGCTTTGGCATTATATCACTATATCTTTCAAACAGAATTTTAATAATAGAGAGACCAAGATATGAACAATACCAACTTAAAAGTCACTCACAGCTTTAAAATAGATTACCTGAAATAGTATTCACAACTTTCTTCCTTTGTGAGTACTACAGCTAAAATATATTAGCAAAGTTATTTTAATCAACTAAACTAGAAGCAATTACTATACAGCACTTCTGCAGCAACCTCTGTCTTATGACCTCAAAAGACCTCTTCCTCCTTCAATGGATGAATGAGCCAATGTTCAAAAGACTGTACAGAAAGCAGTGTGATCTCATTCATTATACTGATGAGCGAAAGGAGACAGAGATATTTCCATAAGCACAGAGAAGCATATAATGCTTCTTGCCTGGAAGGATTTGATCAGGTGGCTAACATTTCTGTTCTTGGTCTTCTCACCATTTTGGCAATAACTTTCTTTCCGCCACAAACTTTACTTTAATTATGCTTCCTTATGATTTACCCATCAAAGCACTAAGCAATAGCAAAAACTATTCTTCGACAAAGAACTGATGTGTGTGATATCAATATTCTATAGTGACTTCAAGTCCTATTCTGAAATATAACAAACTGGTTCTAGCAGACTGTACTCAAAGTGTAGCAATTCCTTCATATGTAGTTGCTCTTTAACTACAGACCGCACACTGAAATGCCACTAATTTTAGGCTTTACTTAAAATATAAAATTCAGAATTGACTTTTGCCAATTAAGTATTCATTTCATGGCCACCTGTAGACTTCAAACCAGTAAAGTTACTCATAAATCAAGCAGTCTGCTCAAATGATTTTGAACATCCAAGGGGTGAAATCCCAAAGAGGAAAGAAACAAACATTGCACCTGAGGGAAGTCCCTTCTACTTTATGCAGTGCTGCTCCTGAGTGGTCTCCTCATTTAGAAGGCAGCTTTTTGAGGTGGCATGGGGGCTGACACTTCAAGAGGAACCTTAGAAGCAACTATGAGTGAAACAGCTACCCACAACTGTCTGAATTATGACCAAGGACATTCAAAGTTGTTTGCTTTTATTTCCTACAGTCTCTCTGAAATATATCATTCTGCTGTAAACTGCATAAAAAGCCCTTTATCCTTTGTCACTGATTATTAAGATATTTAGATACAATGTAGACAAAATGGTCTGCTCTATTTATCAAGAATTAATCCATGTTTGAATTAAATTATGCACAAGTGTTTTCACATTTTAGCATAATTAAGGTACTTACCTCCTTCTCCATAAAACAAGAGGCCATTATAAAATTTTGTTTCTGCCTAGGAAAAAGAACAGATATTTTTACTTAACTAAGAAACCTATAAAGGCTCAAAGCATGAAATATTATATCTCAAAAACAGGGAATAAAAGCTGCAAAGTCTAAACGGCTGTTTGCACTTAATGAAGTCTTAAAGATATTACCTCATATTTTAGTTTTTTGATTTCACAGCAAAGGGCTGCATACACAGTAATGACTTTGTTTAGAACCTGGATAAATCAAATAGAAAAAATACAGAATAGTAAATGTACAGCAACAAACAAACAAAATATGGCTGCTGCAGAGAGGGAAGTAGGACCTGCTCTGATAAGGGATGAGTTCTGTTTGGCTACCCTATCCTTGAACTGTTTCATCTAGGCTCAGCATAGTAAAAACTTGAGAATTTAAAACAGGTGGCTAAGTTTGCTTCCCACCCCGCCACCTTCCCTGGCCTTTGTCCTATTGTCAGTTTACATGAAGAAACAGCAAATTGTGCATTGATTGTAGGTCACTTTAAATATGCAATTTCTGATTACTTGGATTAGAGGTTGCTTAACCTGCAATCAGTTGTTAGAGTAACACTGGGTTGTCTAACCCACTGTTAACCTCATAGTGTCTGAGTTCAAGCATCATGGACTAACCTCAATCAAGCCAATCAGAAAGTGCATGTACAAAATGGCAGCAGTACACCATGATTTAATCCATGATTTGTTGCCACTGCATCCAAACAAGTGTTGTGTCTTCAAGATGGTAAGAGTATGGAATCCAGTGTGTGTGTGTGTGTGGAGGGGGGAATCCAATAGATTGTGGATTACAATTTTCCAGCACCACACTAGTACCAACCTACAATGGAGCAAACTGAGTCTGCTTGTGAACTTCCATTTCTAAGGCAGGGCATAATTTGCTAATTTTAAAAATGGAAAGAATCGCTATGGACAACTCTTGTTAACTGCCCAGAGAGCCTCAGCTATTGGGCAGTATAAAAATGAAACAAGCAAAACAAAACAAAACAAAACAAAACATGTGTCACTGATCCTAAGCAAGTCACACTGGAAGCATCTTTAACTGTCAGGCAAAGTAAAAATATATAAAAGCAGTAATTTAAAAAAGACAATACAGTATCATCAACATTTGTGTAACAAGTAGTTGAATCTAGAGACTTTTACCTTATTTTCTGTCTTTATGAGTTCAAGTAGGGAAGACTGTTCATAAGGCAAAAGCTAAAATTAAGCAAAAACATTAGTGTTTTTAAGGAAATTAAGAGGGCTGTCACATGTCTGCACTAACTGAAGCAAGTTACCCTAACACAGTTCTTTCAAGCTGAGGTCCATATTCCATAGGGCTTTTTTAAAGTGTTAATTATGCCAACAGGCAAGAAATAATTGGTTCCCATATTTAAACAAACTCCATTCTATTTCCCTGAAAACACATATGACAAGAAGCTATGAGATTTCCTTCCAAAATTAATGCAAAAACATACTAAATAAATTATGGTTACTGTAAGAAAAAGATCTACCAAGCAGTAACTGTATAAGGTTTGTACATAGGACAATACCTAGCTATGACCATTGGAAAGAGACAATTTTGCTTGCCTTTAGAGGCTCATGTACTCAGCCAAAAATGCCATCTGTCAGAATTTCAAAGCCATGTACTTAAATAGTGAGATTTCTCATTATAACAAAAATGTATGGTTCCTGAGAGGCTTGAATCTTTATAACTCTTTAGATATAAACTAACAAGCCCAGCAAGCTAAAATGAGTCAGATTTTAGATAATTAGTAAAATATTGATTTGATTCCGGATCCAGAGTGGCTTCCAACAAACAACATGCTTTTGTACACAAAGATATACACAGATGGCAGTATGGTTGCAGCATTTTTCTTCATCTGGCTAATCTTGAGATCTTCCTATTGTCTAAACTAAAATGGCTTATTGGTTGTCCAGTAATGTTCTCTATGTTATATATCAGCTTTTAACCCACAAGGGTTTACCATAGTGACTTTCTATGCTACATCTTTTTAAAGGCTAGGGAAGTCCTAAACAGGAGTTCCTAAACATACTCCCCATTTTCCTTATGGCTCTTTAAAGACTCAGGGCTAGTGTGTCCTGAGTGGAAGTCAAACGAGGATATGCCTAAGCCAAAAAACTCATACTGACAATTCCTAATTATGTTTCATATTTAATATAATTGCAAATATTCTATCATTATTTAATTCACTTTTAACATGGGAAAATGATTTATAATGTCTGATATAAATAAATCTATGGGTCTCTTTAGGGAAAAAAACAAAAGACAATTACTTAGATCAATATAAACCCAGCTTCTAACTACTGCTTATACGACAGGCAGGTTCACACATCAAACTAAACCACCCTGGCAATAAACTACAGTGGGTTGATTCCTGAGCAACCTACAGTACACCTGACAGAAGACCAGACCCCCCATGAAGTTGTTTCCATTCCTGCTCATACGGGTATCTCAGAAGACTCCATGACAAAACCAGCTCATCAGGATCACAAGCTCTTTCTAGCTTGCAGCTGGAGATCATGAACTACAGTATCCAAATGGATAGCTAGTAATAGCCACTTCAGCGTGGCTCAACTGTACAGTGGAGAGACTGTCACTACTTTGTCATCTATCCTTACTAATTTTTGCATGCCAAATGTGCACAAATATTTCTATGTCCAGTCAGACTTGCACAAGCATCTATTCGTCCAAATAGGCAGTCTTGCCTAGACAATGCCCTTTATCACAACATAGACCAGGCAAGACTGCCTATACCAGAAAGGCAAAATACCACACTTTAGCAACTCTGAAAGACCAATAATAAATAATAATTTAAAAAATAACAATGTGTGTGAACATTTTGGAAGACAAACAAATAAAAAAAAATACCACAGGTACATTTTTTGGAATTTCCAGGCAAAACCCCAATGATGAATGAATTATAGTCACAATTAGAATGTAGACGGGGAGACAGATTAGGTTGTGTCCTGAAGGGCACTGGGATACTGATCCATCTGTCAGACACCCTGGGCTGTTTGTCAAACAACTCACACTGAATAGCTTATCTGCAAGGTAGGTTGCCATGTCATGCAAACCATCTATAGTTTTGCAGATTTTCCCTCTGTAACAGATTTGCTATGGTAAGTAAAAGGATGGATGAACTGGGAAAATATGAAAGGATTACAAATGAAAGATCCTTTGTAAAATTCCATGCTTGAAGCAGTGCTATTGGACAATAAAAGCCTTTGCCTGGAAGTTTCCAGAATGAGTGACATACATGAATATTAAAAACAAGCATACATTTAATGCAATGGGATCAAGATTGAAGTCCCAAACATCTCCTATAGATTCATCCAGTGCATCTTCAATTCTCCTCAGCTGGGATGTATATGCCTCAAGGAACTTCCCATAATTCTTCAACTGCACTTCAGCATGGATTTCTAAGAAGAAACAGTATTTTCATTATGACAGGATATTATTAAAATTTCTTAAATTTTCAATAACAGAAATGATCTGATATGTTAATTATTCTACTTTGTACCTTTTTCTAGGTACAAAGGACAAAATTTAGCCATCTACTTAAAACTCAATATTCAAAACAGAAACCTTTTAAGACAAGCATATATATTATACAAACTTTTAAATAAAATATTACAGATGTTCATACTCAATTTAACTAATTACAGCACCTATTTTTCCCTGTTACTGTATACCATCACACTTATTTTATTTATGACTTCTCAAATTCACAAAAGTATTTATATATTCATTTATATATGAATCACATGATTTATGAATCACACCCTCCAACCATCCAGGAGACATACAATAAAACTACAATAAAGACTTAGGAAAAATGTCTACATCATGAAAAACAAATATGGGAATAAAACACATTCAATATATAATAAAATTATAAAATATTAATAAAATTATAAATACATAATAAAAGTAAAGGATGACATAAAACACTAAACAGTATTAAAAGTCTGGCAAAAGAGGACACTCATCACAGTCCACCTAAAGCATAACAAAGAGGAAATTAATCTAATCCTGTTAGTGGGGAGCTGCACAATTGCACAAATGGCTGTCTCAAGTACCAATAACCTAACCTCTCACAGTATTGGGACATATGTCCTTCAATAAATTTTATAGTTTGTGGATAGGCTCACAGAGAAGCAGGCAGCCCCCTCAGATATCCTGGCCCCAAACTATTTAGGATTTTGTAGATAAGGCCCAACACTGAATTGTGCCTGGAAACCAAGCTGGAAGCCAGTGAAATTGGCTCAAATTCATGTTTAGCAAGTGTGCTCTTTTAAAAAGTCTGGCTGCTGCATTTTGCATTTCCAAACACTTTTCAAGGAAAACCTCACATAGAAGGTTACTAAGATTAAGGCACAGATCACTGTGGCTAGATCTTCCTCCTTCAAGAAAGGGTGCAGATGGAACAAAGAAAACAGGCTTCACAACTAACAAGCATTCCTGGGTTGTTCAACAAAGCTGATGCAATTCAGTTGCCACCCAATTCATGAGTTAATTGTTTAATTCATGAATTGATTCAGTACAAATCATGTTTTAGTGTGAAGTGCAGAGCGATGCACTCCATAGAGAGTTGGGGCATAAACAGGAAAGAGGTCTTGACTGAAGACAGCTTCATGATAACATCTGCTCAGTACAACCGCAGCACGGAAGGAACATTCTATGTTAGAAATGATATGGGAAGGGACTGAAAATAAAATGTTCAATACCATACTTATACGAATATACAATGCAGTCGCACTGAGAATCCTATATTCAATTCTGTTTTCCCAATTCAGAAAACAGAATTGAATATAGGAAATTGAGAACATCAAGGGATCAGAACATATTCCCTGTAAGGAAAGGTCTATTCAATTTATTTTAAAAAAGGTAACTGAAAGAATAGAAGCATTATTAATTCTGCAGAGTTGGTGAACAGAGCAATGCTTTCCTGCTCTTTCAAAACACTGGAACGCAGTGAAACCAACAAAACTGATTACAGTAGATTCAGAACAGATAAAAGAAATCACCTTCACAGTACACATGTAGCTATACTAGGGTGAATCATATGCATGTTTAGAAAGAAAAAAGTACTACAGTTCCCAGCATCTTTACAGCTGGGACATTTAGGAGCTTTTTCTATCTAAATATGATTAGGATCACACCTCAAATGGATTTAGAGGGGGTAAATTTATCAAGGCTACATCAATCAACAGTGATTAGCCACAACAACTAAATAGGTACTTCCTATTCAAAGAAGCATGTTTATGAATACTAGTTACTGGAAGGAATATGAATGTGTGTGGTGCTGTTGCCTCTGTGCCACGGTGATTGGCTTCCCACAACAATATATCTGTACCAGGATGACCTTTGGGATATTCAAGCAGGGATGCTTATGCTCTCTATTACTACAAATATAGAAAATGGATATTAATTAAGAATAAAGACCAGATAAAATGTAGCTTAATTTGTTTATAGTACTTTCGTTGTTCAATGCAAATCTTATTTCCAAATTAAGACAAAGTACAACCCTATATGTGTCTACCTGATAAGTCGGTCCTGCTAAGCTCATTGAAACTAATTTAGACGAAAGAGGAACCTCCGTAGGAAATGCGTACTGGGGGAAATAGACAAAAGGGTATATTGGGAGGAGGAGGCCCGTTGCAGAAGGATTCTTCACAAGGCTAAGGCTGATTACGAGCTGAGACTTGCCAAGAATATCAAGAGCAACAAAAAGGGCTTCTTTCAGCATGTAAATAGGAAGAGGAAGGGGAGACAAGTGGTGGGACCACTAAATAAGGAGGAAGGAGATCCAATGACTGATATGAGGGAACAGGCACAGATGCTAAATGACTATTTTGCCTCTGTGTTCTTCCCAAAGCAGGATGGGGGATATCCGCATAGGAGATTAGATGAGGCTGGGGACTTAGGGGCACAGATTAGAGTCAACCCTCCTTGAAGTCGAGCGGCTCCTCAGGGCATTGGACATTACAAAGGCGCCAGGCTCTGATGGGTTACACCCAAGAGTACTTAGAAAGTTGGCAGGGGTTCTCTCACGCCCGCTGGCCTCCATTTTTGAGACTTCGTGGAGAACAGGTGAAGTTCCAGAGGACTGAAGTGTGGCGTCAGTGGTCCCAATTTTCAAAAAGGGTAGTAGAAAGGACATGGGGAATTATAGACCAGTTAGCCTTACATCCATTGTAGGAAAAACAATGGAAAGGCTCATAATAGAGAGAGATCTAGTGATGCTAGATAGGGAAGGGAGGCTGACAGCCACACAGCACGGCTTCTGCAAAAACAGGTCCTGCCAGACAAACCTTGTGGAATTCTATGACAAGGTTTCGAGATGGCTAGATGGAGGGGATGCAGTGGATATGGTATACCTGGATTTCAGCAAGGCCTTTGACAAAGTGCAAGGAGTTTTGGGATAGACCAAAGCACTGTCCGGTGGATTAGGGCATGGTTGACTGACTGAAAGCAGAAGGTAACCATTAGCGGGAATCATCGGGATGGTGGCCATTGACAAGTGGGGTCCCCCAGGGCTCTGTCCTGGGGCCGATCCTGTTTCATATTTTCATTAACAACATGGAAGAAGGGGTGAACAGTCTGCTGATCAAATTCGCAGACAACACTAACACTGGAGCAGTGGCCACAACTGAGGAGCAGGTACTCCAGATCCAAAAGGATCTGGACAGACTATGGAAGTGGGCAGGAGACAACAGGATGGTGTTCAATGTGGATAAGTGCAAGGTCTTGTACTTAGGGCATAGGAATAGCTGTCATAAGTACAGATTAGGTGATAAGTGGCTGGAGAGCAGCACTTGTGAAAGGGACCTCGGGGTATTGGTTGACTGCAGGCTAAACATGAGTCAGCAGTGTGATGCAGTGGTCAAGAGGGCAAACGCCACCCTTGGTTGCATAGCCAGAAGTGTGGCTTCTAGATCAAGAGAGGTATTGCTACCATTCTACACGACTCTAGTGCGCCTGCAACTGGAGTATTGTGTTCAGTTTTGGGCCCCTCATTACAGAAAGGATATAGCCAGGTTGGAGTCAGTGCAGCGTAGGGCCACAAGGTTGGTGGCCAATTTGCAGGGGATGCCATATGAGGCGAAACTGAGGGAACTGGGTCTCTTCAGCCTGGAGAAGAGGAGACTCAGAGGGGATATGTTGGCGACATACAGGTATGTGAGGGGATGTCACATGGAGATGGGTAGAGACCTGTTCTCCCCTGCAGAGGAAGGCAGGACGCGCTCCAACGGAGCAAAGCTCAGGGAGCCAAGGTTCCATTTGGATGCCAGGAAGCACTTCCTGACAGTCAGGACCCCGAGGGTGTGGAATGGGCTTCCACGAGAGGTCACTGAGGCCCCATCGGTGCGGGTATTCAAGGACAGGCTGGACGTCCACATGGTGGGCATGTTGTGAGCGGAGCCAGCTGGTGCCGGAGGTCAGACTAGATGGCCCGGGAGACCCCTTCTGACTCGCTCTGTTTTCTATGTTTCCTATGTTTCTAATTCCCTGGAAAGCATGCAAAGGATTGCAACCTTATGAGGTAACTGCATTTACAAAACAACCTGAATTACGATAGCCAAAGCATAAAACTTTTATTTTATCACACAGTCAGACAGACGCAGTTGCTATATTCTGTTTTTCTGAACAGAGGCAAAAAGATTGGAAAACAATGTGCCATCAAGTCATCTGGAACTTATGGCAACTCTATGAACGAACGTGTTCCATCCATGACAGTCCTGCCCAGCTCCTGCAAATTCAAGGCTGAGGGTTCCTTTATAGAGTCAATGCATCTCAGATGCGATCTTCCTTCTCTTCTGCTTTTGAGTTTCCCTAACATAATTGTCTTCTCCAAGGAGTTTTGCCTTCATGTGACAGTAGGAGATCCTCAGTTTTGTTATGTTTTCATCTAGGGAAAACTTTGGCTAGGATCCACTTTTAATCTAGCATCCACTTGTTCATCTTTCTGTTGGTCTAGGTCAGTGATGGCAAACCTTTTAGAGACTGAGTGCCCAAACTGCAATGCAAAACCCATCACAAAGAGCCAACACTGCAAAAAAACCCTGAATACTGAGGTTTTAGTTTAGAAAAAACAACTAAATATGATGCTGCAGATTCAAATATGCCAGGGGGACAGCACAACATTAAAAGAATCTCAGTCTTTTAATTAGAACATCTCTTGCTAAATCTTAGATATTAAATTTCATTTTTCCTTGCGAAAACTCAAAGCTAAAATCTTGTGTTAATAAAAATGAATGTATTAAAACTCACAGCCACTCCAAGCAAATATATAAATATCCTTGGCAGCGCACTGACCGGCCATGCGAAAGCTCGGACAAGTCGCGGTTAATGAGTTGCGGCTCGTGACATCATCACCTGGTGCCACTACTCCTTTCCAAGCATGCGCATGGCCCCTATGCGTGCTGTTATCCAATGCTTGGGTGCTGGGGCAATGCTGAGGTGACTTGGCTCATGTGCTGACAGAGAAGGCTCTGCACGCCCGCTGCGGCACACATGCCATTGGTTCACCACCACTGGTCTAGGTTATTTGCAGAGGTCTCCTCTAGTGCCATGTTTAAACACATCCATTTTCTTTCTGCCAGCTTTCTTCACTGTACGGATACATAGTGATCCGAATACAATACTGTGGATGAACTTGGCCTTGGTCTCCAGTGAAACCACTTTAACTGTATTTAATTATATTTCCTAGTTTGTTCATTGTTGCCCTTCCAAGTTTCAGTTCTCTTTGAATTTTTTGGATGCAGCCACTATTTGAATTGATGATTGAGCTGAGGTTTCTAAAATTTTTCACAATTTCAGTTTCTTCATTGTTGTGTAATTCTTCTTCTTTGTATACTTAATGTTCAGCTGCAGTCCTAGTTTTGCACTTTATTTTTTCACTTTCATCTGGAGTCATTTCAATTTGTTGCTGCTTTCTGCCAGTAAAATGGTATCATTTCTACATCTTAAATTATTAATGTATCTTGCTCTGCCAATTTTCATTCCTCCTTCTCTGATGCTAATTCAGCTTTTCCTTATGTTCTGTGTACAGATTGAACAGACATGGATATAAAATTCGCCCTTGTCTAATGGGAAACCATTCTGTTCCTTCATATTCTGTCCTAACAGTAGCTTACTGTCCACAAATACAGTCACACATTAGGACAATTAAGTGCGGAGGCACACCCATTTCTTTCAGGACCATCCATAGCTTCTTGTGATCCACACAAAGGCTTTGTAATAGTCTATAAGGCATAGACTGATCTTCTGAAATTCTTTGGTGTGCTCCAGTATGCTCCATATATTTGCAATATGATCTCAAGTCCCTCTTCCTCTTTAGAATCCAATTTGCTCCACATGGGGTAACATCCTTTGTTACAGCACTTTGAACATCACTTACTTGCATGGGAAATTAGTCCAATGGCCCTATGGTTGCTGCACTATTTTGTATTTCCTTTCTTGGGGACTATATATTGAACATTTCCAGTCTATGGGCCATTGTATTGTTTTCCATATTTGTTCACATATTCTTGTTTGAATTTGGACCAATTCAGTCTCTACCACTTGAAACAGTACTACTAGTACCTTGTCTATTCCAGATGCTTTGTTCCTTCCAAGTGCTTTCACAGCAGCTTTTACTTCACTTTCTAATATTGTAGGCTCTTCCCCAGGATTCTTCTTCAACGGAGTCTGCCATCCTTTCATCTCTTCTATATAGGTCTTTTTCCATCTTCTCTTTATTGTATCCAGGTCAAATAATGTGGTCCTCTTTAGTATCCCTAATCTAGCTTTGAATTTTCCTTTCATTTCTTGAATCTTCTGGAAGAGATCCCTTGTTTTCCCACTTCTGTTGCTCTCTTTTATTTTTATTTTTTGAACTAGTTATTGTAATTGTGCTTTTTGTCTCTACACGATTGTTGGTGAAAGTTGCATTTAGGATTCTGACCCTATTTTGGTTCCTTTAGCTTTTGTTTATTTCCTGTTCTTAGTATTTCTTACTGTGAATGTTTCTTTTGTCATTCATCTAGATGTTTCTTTCTTTTTGCTACAGAAATTGCTTTTCTGGCATTCTTCCATAATATTTACACAGAGAAAACATTTAAGTATTTCAATGTTTGGCAACAAAGAACTAAAAGTACTATATAGTAACATATGAATTTTCTGTTTTCCTAAAAAAGAAATGTAAGAGACATGAAGCGCCACTAGCTGACTTTAAAAGTACAATTTTAAAGAATATTGTTGAAACATAAAATGGAACTGCTGAATTGAAAGATAGCTCAACTCTTAAACTGTGCTTACAGCATCTACTGATCTACTGATTTTGGAAAAGCATTCACATAATGCCATAATGTCATGCTTTGTCATGAAAGCCTTCCCGCTCTCCTGTGAGATGAGGCTGGCTGACACATTTCCTTTTCCAAATAGCCAGTATCCTCCATCAGTTCCTGCATTCCTAGTCCCAAACTGGTGGTGGAAAGAAGAAGACTCTTTGCCTCCTGAACTGCCAGTTAAAGAATCTGATTTCCCCATACTATCCTTTAACCCAGCATGTTTCCAATCAATTGGCAATGTGCAGCTATTCCATCTTTTCTTCCTTAATGGATTTTTTCTGGAAAGCAGAACGGATGGTTGCAGTAGGAAAATAAGTGGAAAGCCAAAAATTGGAGATGTGGTCTGAAGACCCCCATAAAATGCCATGAATGAGACAATTTGAGTGCACAATAAAATCTTCATCTGAAAGCATTTCACATTTACAGGCACACAAGCAGCACGAGACACAGGTGAGATTTGTCCCTTGAGCAGTCCTAGCTGCAACCTTGGCAAAGTCCTTCAAAATCACAATGGATATTCTGTCTTTGGAGGACCCTCCCTCCACCCTTGTAGCTGGCATGGATCCTTACACAACAGCTGAGTAGGCACCATCTTTAGAGTAGGTGCTGGGGGGGGGGGGGAGAGGTAGCCAAAGGCAGGGAAAAGCAAGCCACCACCTTTCTGTGAAGAATCCGGGAGATGTTTCCACTTCTCCTTCTGAGGAGGGGTAAAATCACTTGTCTACATGTCTTGGAGGACAAGAGGAGGCAATTCACATTCCTTCCAAACTCAAAAGAAAGTCCATAATCTTCTGAGCTTGGCGAGTTAAGGGTAGCCACATAGGATGCCACTCTTAACCATATGTTTTAGCACTTTTAACCACAGTGATACTTGCAATAAGGGCTGGCTGAAGAGTTATAAAGGTGGTTAAAAAGCATCCCCCTTTTTATCAGTGCACAATCATGGATACACCTGCGACTTGAATTTGTGTTGTTTGTGTTGACACATGCAATTACAGAACAGGGGGTGTCAATTTATCCCTGATTTAATATTCCTGAAAAGGCTTGATTGTGTATTAAAGGTATTCCATTTTGAAATAGTTACAAACATTAACGATTGCTTAGCCATGTTAGATTGCTGGTGGATAAAATAATGAAGAGTTTGAGGAACCTTAATGACTAACAAATGTATGTGACTCAGATGTTCACATAACGTGCTATAGTTCGCAAATGCTTACATCCCAAACCTATTAGACTTTAAGTCAGCCTAAAACATGTTAATTATTATCCACACTGAATTACCCTCTAAAGTGAAGTGTTGAAAGGCACCATTTAGGACCATTCAAGAGAAGAGAAATGTTTGCACAACAACTAACCAACAGCAAAACCCTGACCAGTACTCATAATCAAACAAGTTTCTAAGGCAACTTTTTCTATTTCAGACTAGAAACTCCTGTTTGCCTGTGCGACACGAATGCATGTATAGATTTTCTCTCTGCCTTAATTTTATAATTTTAAGCCGTTATCTTTCCACCGATGAAGAAAGTCCACTCTTTTACCCTTCGCCCACCTTGACGGTGAAGACACTAGCGGTCGGAGTTGTGCTGAGGGCTATCGCTGCCCCCAAGGAGTGATCGGGAATGAGCCCCTCGAAATCCCCCAACCACCCGTGCAGCAGGCTGCTGACAGGTTCCGCGGACAAGCATGACAGGCAAAAGAGCCTCCCTCACGGGAAGGGGAAAAGAGGAGGGGAAGCTACTTCGCTGGGAGGCCCCATTTTGCGGGGGGTCGGAGAGAGGAGTTTCGACTGTGGGGGGGGGGGCTCCGCTATTCACCTTATGAAGGACCAGCCAGACTCAACCGCCGCCTCCCTCAGACACCCCCAGCGGTTCCCTCGGAGGACGAGACACGCTCCGCCTCATGCCTTCCCCCCGGCCTTACTCTGCGAGCCGTCGTCGACGCGGTCGAACTCCCAGTCCGGCGACAGAGTCTCCAGCGCCATAGCAGCCCCGCGCCCACCGGCGGCGGCGATAGCAAAAGCAAAAACCGGAGCTGCCCTTGCCCCACTGACTGAAAACCACGGGACTTCCTGCCACGCCTGCACAGCATTCTGGGAAGGGTAGTTTCCCGCTGTCGAGGGAAGGAGGACGCCGGTGCTGTGGCGATTGGGCAGCGAGCGAAAGAGGCGGGGCGGGGCGGGGCGGGGCAACGGCGCCCCCTACGGGTGAGTGTCTATGGTTAGAGAGAGGCCCAGGGTAGTGGTGCTGAAGAATCATGTCGCGAGAGAGACGTACTGTAAAGGACGTGTCACCATGATTGTGGGTGTTTTGCTAACCCTGTTTCTTATTGATCAATTCCTTCGAACAAACGCAATTCTCTGTAGGGACAAATATTTTTCCCCAGACACAATATGTTATGCCTTATTGTAATGAAAAGTCTTTTGGGGTTTGTTCGGTCATGAATGGACGATTAACATCTATTCAAGTGACAAAAGGCTGCACCTGGTGGAGACTAAAACTACTAGAACTGGATTCTTAATATGGATCAAGCAGCAGCCTCCAGTTTTGGACGTTTTAAATTATTTATTGTATGGCACATTCACATCACACTTCAATTAGAAAAAGCACAGGCATAACAACATGGCATATGTCAGAATCCCGGAATCTCAATTTGAGAAGAGGAAATAAAACTCGGAGTCGTAGGAAAGATCAATCGTTATGAACCTCCGTGTCTTTATTGTCTATTCCAGGTTCCCACGGTTGACTCACGATAATGCATTACCGAGCTAGCAGAGATAAACTCGCTGCCAAGCTTCAATACCATTACAGGGCATTTATAGGTACACAGGTACAGGGCAATTGATGACAGAATGCAGAGATTACAATAAGATTCTGAGGTCATCACATACAGAACAGATAAAGAAATGTCAGTCAATCACACTGTAACAATGAGATTAAAATATTTCTATTTGCCTGTATTGACACTTTAGTTGAGTAACTTGAACCCATCTCCAGGTCTGCTCAGACATGCAAATTCAAGCTACTAGAAACTATTCATGATAAGCTCAGACCCTTATCTCGACTCTAAACATTCTGCATGATCAGGGCACATGAAGCCCTCTGGGCTATCAAAAGATTATTGTAAACTGAATTCCAGCTATGACTATTTACAATGTATATTTGGGCTAAAATGGCCTGTCTACTGTAGCTTACAGCTAAAGGTGAGAGAAAGGAGCGGTGGTGGGGGGGGGGGATGCCATTTTAAACGGTGACAGCTTGGTTTTGAGAAGGAAGACAGGGTCTGATCCCACAATGCAAAGGCACACAGGAGTAATGCTTTTCAGACAGGATTTATCCACATTTTCCCAACACATACAAAATACAAGAACCAAAACATTATAAATGTATATCTCGATTACAGGTATATTTTTTGCTTTTGTTTGTCCCAACCAGGAAATTAACAAACTCTCCTTTATAAGCTCTATTTTTGGCACTCTGTCACTATATGTTGGATAGTTTGTCTTTTGATCCAACAAACACAATTCAGAGATGGTATTTTGCCCCATGTATAAGGGGCATCTGCACATTTGCCATGGCCAGTGTGAATTCGATTTACTGTTGTCCATATCACATGGGACTGGTCAAATCCAGGTGGTTTTTCCAAGATGCTGGGCTGACTGCAACATTGTGGGGGACAATTTTCTATCCAGTGTTGTTTCCACATATTGTGAATATTAAAATCATCTGCAAGTGCCCTAGCAGTAGATAAGATAACTGATAACTCCCTGTTGCCAATTTGAGTGATGCAGTTTGCCTAGAGCAAAACAGGTTGCGATCTAGACATCCAGCTATTAGTACTGCTAAGGCACTTGTAGAAGATTTTTGGATTATTCTTGGGCCATGGCTATGGAGACCACTGAGATCATGACTGACTGATTGATGGCTATATAGTCCAATAACCAAAGCTCTCCGGGCAGTTCACAACAATTTTTCAAAAATGCAACAAAAGATACAATAAAAATAGAGACACGAGTAAGATAAAAACACAACATAAACTTCCAATATACAGCTTTAAAACAGTTCAAAAAGCCAATATGTTATGGTGGTGGTGGCCGGCTCTGCAGAATTTACCATTACCCCACTGTAATCCATTTCCTCAGAGGCATCAGTCAGCCAGCTTCTGGCAGCCACTGCACATGCTGCTCTTTTGTGCAGATGGAGGATAATTTCGGCTATGTAAGGATCTATACCATGGAGCATGAGCTATTAGCATGTAGCAGGGTTGGGGAACCTCTGAATTTTCAAACATGGGACTACAACTCTCATCATCATGCCTGTGGGCCATGCTGGCTGGGGTCAATGGGTGTTTGAATCCAACAACAGCTGGAGCCACAGGTTCCCCATCCCTGCTCATATTGAGGTAAGGTGGCACAAAGATGGTTGTTACAGGTGCAGTGGACCCCAGTACAGTACTCATGGGCACCTCCAATAGCATTTACATAATCCTTCACCTTCTGTCCCCTTAAAATAAATACTTTTAATTTTAAAAATGAATAGCATTGGGGCTGCAGAAGTTCCTTTCTGCTCCTGAACCTGCCACCAATCAGAAAAAAAAGGCAAGTTTAAGCAAGGGGTAGAAGGGAAGGTACACATCCTCAATTGGAATCATTTTGTAGTGGTACGTACAGCAGTTTCTTAAATTCCAAAGCTACCCGAGAAGGTTTCAGATGCTGCTGTAGAAAATTCCACTATTAATCCAGCTGGCAGCTAAATTAAATTCAGTGGAAGCTACATGGCTAGATGCCCTTTTGTCCATGAAGAAATGAACATCAGGCTACGGCTTCTCTTGGTGACTCTCATGTGAGCTGTGACAAATATAAAATAAAGGCAGTCTGGCTCTATGTGTTAAGTCACTGGAGAAACTGTGGCAAGTGGGCCTTGATGCTCCTGGTACATGCTGGCACTGTTCGTACACTTCCATTTCTGCAGGGACAAATCAGAATAAATAAAAACCAAGGAAGCATTTCTCTCCCACCATTTCCCTCTTCTCCTGATGAAAGCAAAAGAAGGAACTGCAAATGCAGGACTGTAGCTGAACATTAACAAAAGTACAGACTACAGAAGAAATGCATAGCTTTAAGTTCAACAATGAAGAAATTGAAACTGTAAAAGATTTTGCATACTTTGGTTCAGTCATCAATTCAAAGGAGACTGCTGCCAAGAAATTCAAAGAAGACTGAGTCTTGGAAGGGCAGCAATGAAGGAATAATCAAGTGTAAGGACATTTCACTGGAGACCAAGGCCAAGATCAGTCATGCTAGTGTATTCCCAGTCACAATGCATGGGCATGAAAGCTGGACAATGAAGAAAGCTGACAGGCAGAAAATTGATGCATTTGAAGCACGGTGCTTTGCAAATACCCTGGCCTGACAGGAAGACAAACGAGTGGATCCTAGATCAAATTGAAGCCAGAGCTTTCCCTAGAAGCAAAAATGGCAAAGCTGAGGCTGTCATACTCTGGATACATCATGAGTGATCAACACTCCCCGGAGAGGACAATCATGCTAGGGCAAGTGAAAGGCACAAGAAGAGATGGATTGCCTCTAAAAAAGAAGCTGCAGCCTTGAAATTAGAAGAGCCGAGCTGTCATGGATAGCACATTCTGGAGGGCATTCATTCATCGGGTCATCATAGGTCAGAAACAACTTGATGGCACAGAAAATAACAATTTCCCTCTTCTAATTCCTGCAAAAGGAAAAAATACAGTTTTCAGAATAGAAGGATTTGGGGAAACATACCTTGTGTATGACTTCCTGAAGACAAGAATGCCTCACTGGCAAAGTGTTCAAGGGTGCTTCTGGATGCAGTGCTCCTAGACGACCACTCAAAAATGCATTGAGAAGTTAATCCATCCTTTCTTCTCAACGGTGGTGAGTGGGTGTGTACATAGCATGCTTGCAGAGACAAGGCTTTTATTATGAAATCTTCCTGGCTCATTCATGGAATTATATGTTACGTCCTTTAGAATTTATCATCTTCTCCCTATAGCCCTCCTATGGTTTCTTCTTTTTTCTCACACCAAAAACAAAAAACAAACAAAAAACAAACAAACCCCAGTAAAAAGGAGGACAGCTATACAGATACCATTGGATTAATAGTTCTAGGAGCCCTCTACTTGGAAGTACCCAAAGAACAAAGTTGAGATAGTGGGAAAGCATGGGAGGGCTACAGGTGGAAGATGAACAGGTTGTACTGCCCACCCCAAGCATTTTGCGAATGAGGCTGGGCAATGACACAAGAAATGCCAAAAGAGGTTTCCCTAATGACGGAGGAATGTAGTGCATGGGACAGCCTCAGGCTAGGAAGTAGACTCTTTTAATACCATCCCATCTAAGGCATGTCTAGACATCCCAGTGGATCAAAACAGCAGTGCTGTTTGTTGTTTGTTGTTCCACTGCAGTAGGGTTCAAGCTGCTGATAACTTGCAAAATTCACATTCTTCCTCTACAAAAAGAGTTATAGGAAGCAATAGGACAGCCTCTTCCACCCTCAACTTAGGATCCTCCGGATGTTTTGGACTCTGGGCAGCCCCAGCCAGTATGATCAATGACAGGGAGTGATGCAAGTACATGATGGCTCCATTTAGCCATTATAGATAATAGCCACTGATGGACGTCTTCTTTACAATTTTGATCAGCACCTTCTCAAAGATTTCCAACCGACTGGCCATCAAGACATCTTGTGGCAGCAAATTTTGTAAATGGATGTAGGTGCAGTGTAGAGACTTTTCTTCCTGTTGTCTGCCTTTAATCTACTAGCAATCAATGTCATTGGATATCTGGAAAGTCTCTTCTTCCTTCCAGTGCAGAAGTGGGGAGCTTCTTTCAGCCCAAGGGTAAACTCAATCCCAGTGTATAAAGCTCTCAGAGGCCACTTTCAAGCTGGGTTGGGCCGAAGATGGAATGACTGAGGCCAAAACCATCACCACCGCCTTATCAGCATAATAGAGTTTAAAGCTCTGGCTTCAGTCTTTTAGAATAAGGTGTAAAACTTCAGAGAAGCCTGGAAACTACCAAATCATTTGT